TCTGGACCCCGAGAGTCAGCGTTTGCTTGAAAAGGACCACAAAGGCTTCGTCCGCATGGGCTTAAACGTGCCTGCTGGGCCCAAGCGTGACCGCTTCAAGGCCATCAAGAAGCGTCTGTCTGAGCTCAGCATCACCTTCCAGAAGAACCTGAACGAAGAGCAGGGTGGTCTGTGGTTCACCGAGCAAGAGCTGGAAGGCGTGCCGAAGGATGTCCTCGACGGCCTTAAGAAGGGAGATGGTGACAACGCTGGCAAGCTCTGGCTCACATTCAAGTACCCCGACCTCTTCCCCACCCTGAAGTACTGCAAGAACCCCGAGGTTCGCCGCAACGTCTTCACCTCGAATGAGAACAAGTGCAACGAGAATGTGCCCCTCTTCAAGGAAGCCATCGTGCTACGCGACGAGGCTGCCCGCATTCTGGGTTACCCAAACCACGCCACCTTCCGCATCGAGGATAAGATGGCCAAGACCACCGATACTGTTGATGACTTCCTCAGCGATCTTCGCACTCGCCTCTCCCCTGGTGGTGTTGAAGAGATCAAGAAGCTCAAGACTCTCAAGGAGAAGGATTTCAAGGATCGTCGTGTCACCGAGCAGAACGATGGCAAGTACTACCTGTGGGATCACCGTTTCTACGACACTTTGATGCTCGAGCACGAATACCAGCTTGAGCAAGAAGCGATTGCCGAGTACTTCCCCCTCGAGACCACCATCCGTGGCATGCTGGAGATCTTCGAGCAGCTGTTTGGTCTTCAGTTCGTCCAAGTGACGGGTAAGGACCGTGACTCGATCAGTCCCACCGGTAAGGGTGACGACATTATCTGGCACCCCGATGTCCAAGTCTTCAGCGTCTGGGACGATGAGGGTGAGGGCAGCGGTTTTGTTGGTTACCTCTACCTCGACTTGCATCCCCGTGATGGCAAGTACGGTCATGCCGCCAACTTCAACCTCCAGCCCGGCTATATTGACGAGAACGGCAAGAGAAGATATCCCGCCACTGCTTTGGTCTGCAACTTCTCAAAACCCACCCCCAAGAAGCCTTCTCTTCTCAAGCACGACGAGGTCGTCACTCTATTCCACGAGCTCGGTCACGGTATTCACGATCTTGTTTCTCGTACCACATACTCGCGCTTCCATGGTACAGCTACCGTCCGCGACTTTGTCGAGGCTCCCTCTCAAATGCTCGAAAACTGGTGTTGGACCGCCTCTCAACTGCGCAGCCTGTCTCATCACTACAGCTACCTCTCCGACAGCTACAAGACTGCCTTCTCAGAATCCAACAAGTCGGGCAAGCAGCCCTCAGAGACTATGCCTGACAACTTGATCGACAGCATCATCCGCACACGCCACGTCAACGACGCCCTCTTCAACCTCCGTCAACTTCACTTTGGCATCTTCGACATGACTGTTCACGAAGGCAAGTCTCACGACGACATCAAGAGTCTCGAAGTCAGCAAACTCTACAACTCTCTCCGCAAGGAAATCTGCTCTCTCGACGGACCCGAGGAGCTGGGTCAAGGTCTCGACTGGGGTCACGGTCAAGCCACTTTCGGCCACTTGATCGGCGGCTACGACGCTGGCTACTACGGCTACCTCTCTTCTCAAGTCTACTCGGCTGACATGTTCTACACTGTCTTCAAGAAGGACCCCATGAATGGCAAGGAAGGCAGACGTTACAGGCATACCGTGCTGGAACGTGGTGGTTCTCAGGACGAGATGCAAACACTTGAAGACTTTCTCGGCAGAAAGCCGAGTACTGAGGCCTTNTACAAGGAGTTGGGCTTGAGCTAGACGATTGATCATATTGAAGAATTCAAACATGAGATACAATGACTGTCAAATGGATTCTCAAATCCACAAGTACCGCTTTCTGCTTCTGTGCTACTGTATGTAACTCATAACTTCTTTTTGAATACGCGGACTGGGCTAGTGAACTGAAACAGGGTATTTCTACTGGGCAGATTGAGAGTTCTGATATAGTATCCGCTTTGGATGCGATTGTTATGGAACTAGGTGGTAACTAATAGATGAGAGGGAATGAACCCGAAATAAGGAGATACATGACTGGCCATGCAAATACTGATAACAGTGTGGGTCCGAAGAAACAATGGTGACACTGAGGCCAGAAAAGTGATCAGGCAATTGCAATGGAAAGAATGGAAAATGTGGTATTGAGCAATGGCAAATAGAATCAAGAATGAAGAATATACAACAAATGCATTCTACAGCTTGTAAGAACCACCAGCAGAAGGTACTTTGGCATCCTTGACAGCAGCACCAGAGACATCTGTGATTTGTCCCTTGTTGCCAATGACCTTGACACCACCCTTCTTGAGGTCGCTGATGATGCCCTTTCTCTCCTTTGTCTTCTTGCTCTCCTTCTTGGAAGGATCAATGTTGGCCAGCGACTTCTTCTCGCGCTCCTTGTCACGTCTGCGGCGGCGCTTGCGGTCTTCTCTGCTCATCTCTTCGCGGTTGACGACCAGGCCGCCGCGGGTGGCAATCTCGGCCTCTGCCTTCTCGGCTGCCTCGCCTGCCTTGTAGATTTCTTGTGGCGCGAGTTGGGATGCGGCAGCAGCTTCGGCACCGGCGGTGGGACGAGCATCTTCGAGACGTACGACGGGTGCGTCAACACGAATGTCGAGTTGTGTAGCGGGGCCCTTGGGCTTGAAGTGCCAGGAGCTGAGACTGTCGAGCTTGTTGCTGATATCGCGCCATAGCGCGTCGATCTCCTTTGCTCCTTTTGTGTCTTNCTCATCCTTTGCGTCGACGTAGTTGGGGTCGGTAGCCTTGAGGTGCTCTTCCTCGTACATCTCGGCGAGAGACTTTTTGCTCTTACTGTCGTCGAGCTCAAAGTCGAGACGCCCGCGTCTGCTTGAGCTGCCAGTAGCCAAATCGTCAGGACGGCGACGAGTGATGTCTTGGAAGTCCTCGGCAAGAATGCGACGCTTGATGAGCTCTTCCAGACTCTCACTAATCTCGGCGGTGATGACTGGTACGGGCTTACCAACACGCTCGAACTCGAGGTCCTCTTCGAGCAAAGAGTTGATAGGACGGTCAGCAGCACGAGCCTCACCAGACAAAGTCCAATCTCTCTTTGCGACGTTCGCAGCTTCCAGACGACGGATTTCTTCTGTGAGGGCGGCCTGGCGACGCTCGTGTGCTGAACGACGGGAACGAGGGTCGGCTGGGTCGAGGTTCTCCTCGTCTTCCTCGTCGTCTGTAACATCGTCGAAAAGGTCGCGGTGGACCTTCTCCATGGTGCGCTCCATCTCTTCTTCATTCTCTGCAGGCTCGTCGGCACCGCTTGGAGAGGCCTGTTTGGCAGGGAAGTTGTGAGGGTTCGGGCGGCCCTTCTTGTTCTTGCGGACCTTTTTGGCTGGCGGGGCGAAGAAGTCGGCGTATTTGACCTCGTTTGTATTTGAAAGCGAGCCCATGCCGTCCATCTCTCCTTCCTCAACCTCTTCCTCGTTGTCACTGAAACCCTCGGGGGCGTTCAAGTCGACGTTGCCGAATGTCGGACCATCCTCATCGTCTGCTTCGTCATCGTCGTTCTGTGCTGCCTTTGAGATTGTGGTGCTGGCTCCCAGAGGGTTGGAGCCCCAGTCGATACCCTCCTCGTCATCGTCGTCGAAGTCGTTGTCGCCACGGGCGTCTGCTTGTTCGAGGAACTCTGATTGTTTGTTGAAGTCGTCGATGGAGAAGAAGCCGTCGTTCAGGCCGTGCGGGTCGGGCACGTATTCGGCCGCTTCCTCGCTCTCTGCCTCGGACTCGCCTTCGCTGCCCATCTCGACATCATCCCCGGCCTCGATGTCTGACTCTTCGTAGTCGTCAACCTCGCCGTCAACCTCCATGTCTTCATCATCATCATCCTCCTCTTCGCCGTCCACGTCCTCGCCTTCGATTTCGTAGTCGACTCCCTCTTCACCAATGTCGGACTCGCCGTCTTCTGACAAGCCTTCACCCTCCTGATCGTCGCTCTCGTCATCAGACTCATCGATGGCGTACTTCTCGGCGAGCTCGTCGAAGTTGCGCTGAGCCTCTTTCCTGGCAGCGTCGATGATGCGCCTTGCTTGTTCCCAGACTTGCTCGACAGCGAATCCTTCGACATGGACCTTTTTCAGGCGCAGAATCTCGTCGTCTTCATCATTCTGTCCGCGCTTTCTCTTCTTGCGAGCTTCTTGCAAGCGTTGTTGCTGTGTCTCGGCGATAGATTTTGCGATCGGGTCGAGTGTTTGTTTGAGAAAGTCGAGCGACGACGTGTGTAATGTTGTCGGCGGTTGCAGAAAGGTGTAAGGCTCAGAAGTGAGCGATTTGACCAGTGTTGCGGCCATATTTGGTTGTCGAGTTTATGCGTCTGACTTGCTTAGAGACATTTTTCTTGCGGCTTCATCTTTTGCGGCGACCCTTTGCCAAGCCTGCCGTTATCACCGATATGTCCGCTCGAAGAAAAAAGGTTGCTGTGAGTTATATATATACATATAGGCATTATTCAATATCAAACGGTTGCGTGGCCCAATGGCAAGGCGCTTGACTACGAATCAAGAGATTCCAGGTTCGACCCCTGGCGTGATCATGATCTTCTTTTGCTGGACACCTTCCTGCATGGCACTCTCATTTTGTTGAACCGACTGCCTCCAACTTTGGCATTGATGACCTCCCTTTTTCCTTCTTCCCTGGGGAGAGCCTCCATGACTCTTCCCAACCTCGCATGCACAAACCTATCATAAGCTCGAGCAGGAAGAATTTTCGTTCTAAGTCTCTACCTTCGTAGCATCGATTGTTAAAAAATCAAATTTCTTTATCTTTCAAATCCATCAACAATGTCAGTCACCATCGGTAGATCTCTATGCTGAAACCGCATTGAGCCACAGAGTATGAAAAAACTTGGCCCGATGCAGACAAAGGTAATGTATCGAACCTTTGAATTTGTTCGTGCTGCCAATAGCTATCGCTTGACAGAGTCGATCAGCGGTACACGGCCAACAGTCTAGAAAGCATGTCGAATATTTTGAACCCCAGCCAGATATATGCAGTATCACAGGACCGGTCTAATCTCCAAACGAAAAACACTCCGCCGTACCCACCACCCAATACAACATGGGTTGGCGGATATAAGTTTGGTGTTGGAGGGTTCGGTGTTGCGACTCTGTGGATATTGGTGGGTAGGACAACACTCAGAGCCATCGATCGTGTTGTTATAAAGGACGCCTTCGAAAAGTCATCGGACTCTACCGTCGAGACGGGCCTTTACAAAGGCATCTACCGACAACTCAAGAAGAAAGGCCTCGATTTTGGGGTCGATCCCACGCATAACATCGGTCACGCGGCTTCTCACCTCAGATTCCTCAAGGAAGCATATCTGCAAGTTTCAATGACGGTGCCTGACACAAGCGAGGAGATCTACGCCGCACAGCTCTGGGGTTATTCAAGAAAGCTCCTTGACAGTCCCTACTCACCGGATCACAATCACTGGCGATTGTATATGCCTCTGTATGACTACGGGGATCTTAATGGTCTCATCAAAGCTCACTATATCGAGAAAAAGGCCATACCGGAACCGTTCATCTGGCATACTCTTATCTGCTTGATGAAGGCAGCCGTCCAGTCGGAAGACCAAGCCCGATCACGTCCGAATAACACCGACACAGACGTGATTGTAGTGTTCGACATGAAGCCAGGGAACATACTCCTCGCCGCACCCGACTGAACAGCAATGTTTCCCATCTACCCTCGTCCCCACATCGCTGATCTTGGAGGTGGATCTCTTACCAATAGAGACGACTTCGATAACAGAATCAATAGTCAACGAATCGTGTATACTCGTGGTTACAAAGCTCCGGAGATNGTGGGGGCACCCCAGGAACTTCCGGCAGGTACGACAATATTCAGATCATCGACTACTCCAATGCGTGGTACTTGGACGAACGTGTGGCATATTGGGCGTNNGATCGAGCAAATGATGAAGTTGGTTCCAGAATTCACCGATATAGACTATCAGCCCGGGCAGGATGAAGAAGTCATGACACCAGAGATAGTCAGTTGGGCCTTTGAGCTCCCCGGACAGGACTACTCGNNCCTATCCTCAAAAAACTGAAAACTGGTTGCCCAGTGCTTGAGTTTCCACCCAGTAGAACGACCGTCGCCTCAGATCATTTTGAGCCACATCGACGAACCTGGACTTGTTCTTTTTTACGGCATGGACAATTTCGGTAAAGATGCATGGTTCCAGCAACAACAGCTGGATTGCACTCCAGCAGTACCNAAAAAAGCACCCAAACCCACAACCCTATTCGAGGATGCCGCCATACGAGACGCGGAAGTTGAGACTCAGAGACGACTTTACCAAGCCGGAGCTTATCTTCGCGCGTGGGGACCAGCAAAAGCTGCTGATTACAAAATGTTGTGGGTGTTTCCCCCAGAGGAATATGAGGTTTTGTATGAGGATAGTGCGCTGCATTGGTGGGCTATCAAGGATCATGATCTAATTTGGGGAAACGGTGGTGCTTGTTTTCCGGTGGGGATCCGCCTTTACCTGCTCCTGCTCCTCTGGCACCTGTTCCTGTTCCACAGGCTCCAGTTCTACAGGCTGGTTCGTCGAGTAGTGCACACACTTTCGAGGTTAAACTTTGATGAGTTTGGGGGTACCGTAGATAGATGCTTGATGGAGTTGTTCTGTTCTCTTTACATTAGCACGCACTACGACTAGATGTCAGCTGGAGAAGCACGGCTCTGTCAAGAATTTGATTCCCCTTCGTCACAATGACCTAGAAGTCATAGAGGTGATCACTTTTACCATGGATCTGGGTTTTTGATATCATAGAACGACACCAGAATCTCGAGGTGATGGATAGTCTACTTTATCATGGATCTTCTCATCAGAGGTGGCAATGTCGATAACTACACACGAATCAACAAGGTTTCTTATACTCTGACTGCACATCCCAGTCCTTGCATGAGAGTCAGATGTGCCGTGTTCAGACTGTAAACAAAAGCAGGATGGAAACAGCAAAGTGTTAGACTTGGAACGAGACGCTGTCTCCTACATGTCGATGTGTCACGCCTTATCACTCGAGTGCATCCATCATTGCTGGGACCAGGATATTGCGGGTACTCGTGGACACTGATGCTCGCTGCGCACTGGAGGTTTCGAAGTGGATGTCATTGCACAGAGTGTCATGCTCAAGAAGCACGTCACACGAGCACAGAGTAGTAGCGGTGTCAAGTAGACCACTGAGAAGGAAGCAACCATGAGAGTCAACAAGCAGAAGCGCTAAAGGCAACAGTGGGAGTGTCTCATCACTCATCAAGCCAAAGAGCCAATCAACGATAAAAAAGGAAAGGGGAACAGGGAAGACAAGGAAATTGGAGTTTTTGAATATTTGATATCTTGGCATTTTAAGGGAAAAAAAAGATGTAAGCCGCAAGCGAACCCGTCACTCTGTCAAAAACCCAGAGAGCCGAGATTATAAAGGGCACTTATGTATGCATTCCTATTGGCTTCACGAGAATATGAGGCACTCATATATAAGGAGTGCTACAAGGGTATGGAGGCCATCAACTTGATTCGGAAGAAGAGGAGCGCGAGGAACAGAAGAGTTTTATTGTGCTTTGCGGTTGGTCTGTGCAGGCAGCGGCATGTGCCGGGAGAGCGACCACGTCTGCTACTCTAGACTTCAAAAGAAACAACAAAACCCATGAGCAAGGAAGCCTTTTCGAGTCAAACTTCGTTCACTGAAGATTGTGGATTTCAGCTCAGTCAATTCTAATCGAGACCTAATGTATCACATATTGCGGTGCCCAGGAGTGTAGATCTATCCATCTCTAAGCTGCAAGATTATGGCTTGCATGGAGGAAACCCCCAGATGGCACACTCGATTGAACTCGATGAACGAATCCTGAAAAGACTCGACGGGATCGCCAAAGGTATCGAAGACTATGACAATGTCTGTGCTACTACTCGTGATACTGCGAACCCGGGTGTCAATCTACCCACCCTACACCTCTGGCTCCCTCCATTCTCGCTCTCGTCTTTTGAAAGTCTGACTCCAGACGTTGTCATCACCCTCATCTGATGCTGTTCACGTCTTTTGTGTTCAGCTTTGCGGGTTTCTTGAATTGTCAACTCGCTTGGTGTGTAGAAGAGGTCAATGAAGTAAAAGCAACAGAGAAATTGTTAAGCTTGCTCAGGCGAAAGTGAGACTTTTGTCAAGTGATGGAGATTGGTTTTGAGACGCACGGGGCAGCTGATTGATGAAGTGTGACTTACTCGGATAGGTATTTGAGGAGTGGAATGGACTTTATCGATTGGTGAAATCATCATAGAAGGTACAAGGGGGTGAACGGGATGAACCATGGAACTACTCCATCAACCATAACGTGAGTTACATGTAACTATAGAAAGATAACATACATTCGTGATACATAAAGGAGAATATGGATTCCATCTCAGTTTGGAATATCATCCACACTGGTGACGTGAACCTCCTTTCTACCATTCATCTTGCGGCGTAGAGCACTCGATGCAGGGTATACCACCTTTCGCAATCTGTTAGGTCCACCCAAAGGTTGGTATGCCTTGAGTCCATGCCAGGGGTCAACCCTCATGTGGTCTTCCCAGAAGGTCTTTCTCTCAAAGTCAAAACTCTCTTGCTTGGGGATCTTGACGGTAGCCACGGTCTGCCAAGGGTACTTTTCGGGATCCCAGACCTTGCCGGCGTATTCAACAGGTTGATCTTCGAGGTTCTCGCATAGCTGGACTTGGAAGAGGTACTCTGCGTCATGTGTAGCATGGAAATTCTGGAGCCAACGGTGCAAGATGTCTGAGCCATCTTCAGGGCGTACGGTCTCGTCATAGAGCTTGCGTTGTGTCTCGCTGGAGGGCACCAGGCAATACTTCATGACGTAGTCGCCAAAACGGTAGGCAGTCTGTGAGTACTGGCGAGTGCTCTCCAGATGGGTGTTGCGGACCTTGTCTCGTGCGGTCTGCAGTTCAGTATCGTTGCGTTTCTCGAGGTGTTTGCGAAGTTCTTCCTGATCGTGGCCATACTTGATTCGCAAGTCGATGATCTCGCGGGTAACTTTGGCAGTGGCAAGGTCTAGAGCTGGAGTACTGTTGAATTCGATGTCGTGGGTGGGATAGTTCTCGTACATGTCACCCTCGACACCGAAGAGCTTCATGGCGAAGCCACGAGGGACGGGGATGCGGTNCCTGTAGATGCATTAGATGATAGACGGGAGAAGGAAAGGACGTGAACCTACGTCCAAGCCCGGGTCACCAGGCTCAGTGCTATATCTTGCAACGATATCAAAGTCTCCGCCATTTTGGAAAAGTTCGCCTTGCTTAAGATGCTTGGGCAGGTTTTCGTGGACAACGAACTTTCCCTTGACGATGCCGTGTGTACGAGCATGGGTGCCGCTGTAGCAATGACGATGCACGTTCCATTGAGCCTTCTGGATCTGGTTGATCTGCTCGGCAACTGCATTGATGTCGTCCTCTTCGTCGTCTGGAATCTTCTCTACACCTTCAGCGTTCCAGCGAATGTAGTTTCTGCCTGAGAGGTCCTCTTGTTTAACATTGTTGGAGTCCTTGTTTGGAGCTTCGTGGACGGTCAATTTGGAGGTACGGTCAACGGTTACAGTGGAAGACATGATGATGTTATCTCTTGCGAAGTGATCGAGAAAGAAAAAGAGAGAACAAGTAGAGACCTACCAGCACACAGCAAGAACTATATAGAGCAGGAGGTCAGGTCTAGAACAAGTGCGGGGTGCCGTCCTTCTGGGATTGTATACAGGTTAATAGGCGGGAAGCAAGATAGACTCTCAGCCAAAGTGGATATGAGCAGCAGTATTTGGCATAGCTGAGGACTTCCCCGCGATTGTTGGCAGTTTTGGAGGGGTTTCTCTGATCAGCAAGACAGGTCCGGCCATACGGAAAGGCGGGATTAGTGATGGTGGCTGATGGGATGGCTGCAGGACGTGACAGCAGATCTGATCTCCAACCCCTCTTGGCGCCAGAGATGAGTTGCTACGGATGTCTAACTCGGTCACTGGTATGGTAGGAGTAAGATGGAGAAAGAGGGATAGTGGAAGGATGTGTGTGATGGGCGATAGGCAATGGAGATGAGCGTGGGTGGCTGCCGCTTCCATGTGCAGCGCGGAAAGTGTGGGGAAGTACGGAGCCCCTGCTTGTGTCCATGGTGCCTTTGCGACCTTGACATTCTAGACAACCAGTAACCTATTGCACTGTGCTTGGTGCATTCCGACCATGTCTGCTGTGTCCAATGCTGATGCAGCGTCAAAATCGGGTTCGTCCATCCTCCCCCTGCCGCTTGACTGCACAAGGCTGACGCGGCCACGTTGCAGCTTCCAAGAAGAAGAGAAAGAACAAGAAGAAGGCCAATGACAAGACAAAGTCATCCGCCGACGGTCCCGACGTTAACGGCGCTCACGACGACCCGGACGATGATGTCGACGACGACCAAGTTGCAAGCCGGAAGCAGTCAATAGCTGGCCTCGACGAAGCAACCACTCCACAGCCACAGCCACTCAACCACTCCAACAACACCATCACCTCTTCCGCGAATACACATTCAGACCAAGATGCCCCCTCCGAGACAGCTGCGCGCCTGGATGCCATGGTCAAGGAGCGAGATCTGCTGCGTGAAGAACTGGCCGAGTTGCGCAAGTCGCTCGAATCTATTCAAGAGAAGCACAATCAGGAGGCCGAGAGCGACAAGTCACAAGCTCAAGACGACAAGACTGCCAAACAGAATGCCGAGATTGAGGACTTGCGCAAGTCGCTGAAATCTATCGAGCATCAACACAAGCAAGAACTCGATCGACTCAGCAAACAAGCCGAAGACGCCCAAGCCACCAAGGACAATGCAGAGTTGTCCGAATTGCGCTCCTCGATCGAGTCCATGCAAAAGAGCCACCAGAAGGAAGTGCAGGACCTCAAGGATCAGGCACAGCAGGCACTCTCTGCTAGAGACAGCGCAGAAGTTGCTGAGCTGCGCCAGTCGCTCACATCTATGCAAGAGAAGCACACCAAAGATATTCAAGACCTCAGGAAGCAAGCAGACGATGCCCAGACAACAAAGGACAACTTCGAAATCGCCGAATTGCGCCAATCCCTCGAGTCCAGGACGTCAGCACACCAGAAAGAGGTCGAGCTTCTCACCAATAGAGCTCAGGAAGCACAATCAACAAAGGAGAGTGCCCAAGTCGCAGACCTAAACAAGACCCTATCATCTCTCCGGGAGCAACACCAGAAGGAACTCGAAGACTTGAAGAAACAAGCACAAGAAGCACAAGCCGGAAACCAGACCTCGAATGGTGAACAGATGGATCAGCTCAGGACACAGCTGGAGGAAACTCAGAAGGGCAAAGAGAATGCCGAGAGCGCATACCGCACACTTCTTGGCAAGGTCAACACCATCAAGTCGCAACTGGGAGAACGTCTAAAAGCTGATGCCGAAGAACTTTCGAAAGCTCGCGCTGAGATTGAAGACCTACAAGAAGAGAGTAGATCCGCGCGCGAAAGCAAAGAGGAGCTTCAAGCCACCATTGATCAACTCGAGACACAACGCAAGGAATACGAAAGTGAGATCGAATCACTCCGAAGCCGCACCAATGTCAGCCAATCGAATTGGGTCAAGGAACGTGACGAATTGATCAGCAGAGAAGCATATGCCCGAGAGGAGTTTGAGAATGCCCGACAAGCCATGCAAGACTGGGAAGTCCTGGCCATGGAAGAGCGATCGCTGCGTGAATCCCTTAGCGAGCGTGTCACCGAGATCGAAGACCAACTCAACGCTCAACGGGAAGCCTATGAACGGGCGGCAAGCGAGAGAGATACACAAAACTCGACCGTCGACTCGCTTCAACGGGCACTGCAGGACATTCAAGATGCACGCAAGAAGGAGCTGCGCGAGATGGTCGAGAGCTCACAAGCCCAACTCGATGCTCTGCGTGCCCAGACTGATGAAGCAAAGACCTCGGCCGCGTCATCGACAGAAGAGCTTGAAAGAACAAGAAAAGAGCTTGAGCGTGCCCTTCCATTCGAGAAAGAGGTCAAGGAGAAGAATCTGCTGATTGGGAAACTACGACACGAAGCCGTCATCCTCAACGACCACCTTACCAAAGCTTTGCGATTCCTGAAACGTGGTAGACCGGAGGATAATGTGGACCGTCATATCGTGACCAACCATTTCCTGCACTTTTTGATTCTGGATCGCAGTGATCCGAAAAAGTTCCAAGTATTGCAATTGATTGCGGCACTGCTTGGTTGGACTGAAGGTATGTTCTTTACGTTCGAGCCTTGTTCACCTCTAGAAAACATACTGACACAACTCACAGAACAAAGAGAACAAGCAGGACTGGCACGACCAGGCGCCTCCAACTCCATGCTCAAAATTCCACTATCACCTTTCCGCCGCACACCCTCCACACCATCATTATCAGACTCTACTTTTGACAACCATCAAGGAGGCAGTAAAGAATCACTTGCCGAGCTTTGGTCCGACTTCTTGGAACGAGAAGCGCAAGAGGGAGGTCTGCACAGTAGCCGCAGCGGCAGTTTCGCCATGATGTCTCCGACCCAAGAGAGGCCTGCTTCTTCCGCAGGGCTGGGCCTTGCAAGTCCCAAACCCAACTAATGAGTGAAGGGGGTCCTTCTGCCGCATAGAAAGCAGAAATTCCTTGTTGTTTATATACTCTTTTTTCGTTTTTCAACAGCGCTTTCTTGCATTTGTTCTAGAGATGTATGCATCTACTTCTTCTCTTCCTTCACTCAATCTTACATCCTGCCTCGCTCCTGTTCCCACTAAACTCGCCACAGAGCACCGACTTCATTTACTACTCTCAACCACACCTTTGTGCGCACGCCACCACCCTAATCGCTGGACCTTGCCGAAATCAACATCATCGCACACCATTGCAGTGGGAACAAACAACATTGGGTCGCGAAACCCTAGCGCCTCATATTTGCTCTCGTGGCATGCGGTATATAACCTTTGCTTTGCCGGAATACACGAGAGTCGTCATGGTATGTAAATTGTCCTTCGGAGGCGGCAGCGGCACAAACAGCACTGGGTCATGAAGCCTTAGCACCCGGTGTTTGCTGTCAGTGCCATGCGATCTATAATGATCTTTGCTCTGTCGCAAATGCACAAGAGAAGTCATCCTGACATACAGATTCTTAAGATTTGGCAGTGGCAGATGCACAGCATAGGCATCGGGTCAGTCTAGAGACTGCCATTGGGTCAATTTCTGTATTTGCGATTGCGCCCTCACAATTGTAGGGTCAAATATGGCTGTTGTGACGGCACCAAGCTAACGAAACTGCCTTGAGGCGATCTTTTCTCTATCGTGCCTTCCGGTGCTGGAAGGCGCAATGGGTAACTCCTTGTGTAAGCAGCATTGTTGACATTGGTTCTCATCTCAACGGCATCTCAGTCGTGTATCTTCGTCACATCCATCTTATAACCTACGTTCAAAAGAAAGGCATCGCCATCATCGTATTACAGAGCGATACCATTGTCGTCGCCCGAGGATTGTTTCAACCAATGCCAATTCATGCCACCCTCTTATCGAATTTCGTGTTTAGCAATCACAAGCGCCATGACCGATCCATCGAACCTTCCATCTTGCGCGTAGAGATACTGACCATCGTCATTAACAGAAGCAATGGCATTGTTGTCATCGTCGACAGAGCATCAGCTCATCCATACCTATCCTCCTTAAATCATGACCTGAGACTTGTCGCTACTCAACAGCTTGTGATGTTGCTGACATACGCAACGTTCCATTCGAGCCCTCCGGTATCCTTTTAAGTCGTGTGGCATACACGTGGATTAAGTCCTATGAGCGCATATCAGTTTTCTTCATGGATAAGTCACGCATCATGAATAAAAGCTGTGCGTCTCCATAGCTCACTTGTTATCATGGGCTAATGTGTGGTAGCTCTTACAATTGACAGCTCTGGTTCATTTGTCTCTCCTTTCCATCCACCGGGTCTATTCTCTACTGGGTATGGCCACGCCTATGGTCTCCCCTGAGATACAAACATTTCGGTTCCTGGATTTGCCTGTCGAGATCCGGTACATGATCTATGATCCATCCAAGGATCATTCCGTCTCAGTCACACTGCTCAGCTTGCATCCTTCTGACTGTGTCAGAAAGCACTCAAAAGGGAAGTTGGACAATTGCTTCTATCCTGCCATGATGCGTGTCAACAAACAACTTAGACTCGAATATGCCTACATTTCCATGCACCGCATGATCTTGGTCGTCACTGGGCGCGAGAACTTTTTGCACAGGCGCCGTCGACCCCAAGAACAAGAGCAAGCCGTTCATCCCATCTTACCCGAAACTACTCTTAATCGGCTCGAAAGCCTCCACTTTAGGATATCTTGTACGCGACTCTCGCCTACGCTGCAGTACGTGGCAAGTGAGGGACAGCCTCTGGGTTCAAGAAATGCTAACATGGGTTCAATGTTCACGGGGTTCCACTCTAGGCTCCTGGCACTCACAGACCGAATGTTGCAACTAAAGTTGCTCAGGTTCACAACAGCTTACGTCCAACGTCCGTCGTGGTACAACAGAAATAGAATCCCTCTCGATATCAGTGACTTTGGTGTGTGGAGGCGGGAGACTTTTGGTTCGCTACAGGCGGTCATAGGGGTGTCTACTTGATCGTTTCAGGGACATTTGGCACAGTATCAGATGAGCATCATGAAGAGGAACAACTCGTATGCAAGTATTGTATCCAAAAGAGAAAAAAACTCAAACTGCGAAACGTCATCTGCTCGCATTGGCAATATCTTCGACGACTGTGTGTTTGTATAGTGCGCCTTCTGTTTCTCGCCATCGTGAGGAGAAAAGAAAAAATTACAAGCTTGAGCACATGAGATGATTCACCAAGCCGAAGTAACGAATATCTAGTGACCATGAACCGCAACCCAAGATTACTTCCCAACTTTGACTTCCTCAAAGACGGCCTTTGAACATGGTCTCAAAGAATTCACTAACAAACATGTTCTCCGGATCAAACTCTTTCCTCTGCTCCCGATAGCTTTTCAAAGCATTTTGATCACAAGCCTCAGCAAATCACCTAATTGCCCCATCCCTAGTCTTTTTGATGTGAGAAATACCTACATGCTTTGANNTCGCAACTTCCGAAAATGCAAGACGCAAATCCAACCACGTTGGGTCAATAGGATCCTGATATTCTGGGTCTATAGCCATCATATTGCCACTNNTTCTGGACCGCGAGAACAGCATGGTACAATCCTGTTTTGGNNGGAAAAGCAATGTCAAGACGAGATATTTCTCAGTCTCGAATTTATTGCAGAGGTTTATACAGGCGTGTGCCATGGACGACCAGTTTTCCTCGGGAAANNATACCCAGTCGAAAAGGTCAAAGTGGGGTTAGGAGTCAAGGTAGGGGACTGCGCCATCATTAGGGTCGATNNTGATGTAGATGCTGTAGCTCAGAGCTCTGAGAGGTAAATCTATTAAAGTCGTGCTCAGCCATTCTTGCTGGTGTGCGGGTAGTTTCAGTTGACCTGATGCTTTGGCGAGAGGAAGCACGAGATCAGCNNTTATTAGGTCTATGGCTTTGGCTTCTAGATTGTTGGTTTGNNAAGGATGAGTTGGCTTTGCGGTAGCATCCACGAATTTCCTTTTTGAAATCATGATTTTGCCATCGGCTTGGAAGAGAAGGCCAAAGGCTTGATCGTGGGAGTTACGGAGTTTGTTCACGTTGCCGACCACGTCTTTGGAAAAGGATTCGAGATCAGTCATCTCGTAGCTGATCTCCAGGTGTCTGGTCTTCCAGATACGGATGGTAACTTCGCAGACCACGCCGAAGAGACCATAGTGAGAGCGAATGACGGGCAGATATTCGGCATTCTGCTTTTCTGAGATTTCCATCATCTCTCCATTGGCCTTAACGAGTTTGACACCAATAACAAATGAAGGAAATTGAGCACTGTCGGAAAGAGAGCTGTCGTTCGCTTGAGTTCCACTAATGGCACCGATTTGGAAGTCGCCGTATTCGAGGATGACTGGGGGTTGAAAACCAAGAGGTTTGAGATATTCGCATAATTGATGGATGGCAACGCCGGCTTGGACGGTGGCTGTCATGGCTTCCTAATCGATGTGAAGGATCTCGGCCATGTTTTCCAAGGAGATGGTGACGCCGTTGCCGACCATGCATCGAGTGGTTGAGTGCATGGCACCAATGACTTTAACTTTTTCGTTGTGCTGAGCGGCATCTTTGATGATGGTTTGAACTTCGGAGATGGAATGGGGAGTCTTGAATTTGTTGTCTGGGACGACGTATTTGATTTCTTCGTTCCAGTTTGTGAGGGTAGGCATGATGAGTGGTTAGAAGTAGAGAAACATGATTGAGTCAGAGAGTTTGTGGTATGCTGACAGGTCGATGAAGAATGATGCTACTGTTTATGATTCCAGTGAAAGCGTCGATGTGATGAGTTTGCTTAAGTAGTACTCCAGCATGTCGAAGCCTCTCACATACTTATAAGCTCGTTGTGTTGATGCTCCTACTTTTCTGATAGCAACTGCTGGTCAGTCTCGTTCTCTGACTTTGCATCCGCCATTCAATGCTCTTGAAACCGCTGCTCTGCCAAGTCATAGTTTTCGTGTAAGGCTTTCCACTCGTATAGTTCTATATATCCTAAGATGTCAAATGATAGTTGCGTGGCAGTTCGGCTCCTGCAAACCTCCGAAGTGTTGACATTCTGAGCTTCTGCATGTGATAGTAGCTGTGCTCGACAGTTGAGTCGTCTGTTCAGCCTTGCACATGAGCTTCAGCTTGGCGTCTTCGGCATCTGTTACGACGGTTCGCGACATCGACTCCGCCACATATAAGTTATGCTTCTAGATGTTGCTTTAGGCGATTGGTTGGTGCTACGCAGAGTAGAGACTGGTGAGGATGGCTGAAACATGCAGTCTACAATGCATCATGCACTGCTTACAGGTATCTCAACATGGCAAGAATTGCATGTACCTGGTCCTTTCAGCTACGATCGATAGAAGATATTCGTTTACGATAAGTTGGCTGATTGACAGAGATCGAATGAGCCTGAGCTTTGCATGTTTACGAGCTTACCGCATGACCTCGAGAGGATCAAACCAGGCGTGTTGCACACGACCACTGTCAGCATTCTATTCGGCTCCACCTAGAAATCGCGAAGCCTGCAAGCATGCTAAAATCGTTGCGAAGCTTGAGAGAAAAAGTTGATATCTTTCACTTGTTGGGGCAGTGTTTGTGAGACGTGAATTCGGCTTGCGCGCAGCAACAAATTATTGGGATCGAGGTCGAAGCGGCACCCCACAAAAAGAGCATTTTCGCATGGAGAAGATGGCAAAATCAAGCTGCTACGCTGGGTCGAACAACGGACCTTAGGATAATTGCAGAGACTGCAATCCCACGCTCTACCACTGAGCTACAGCAGCTTGTTAAGAATTGTTCTAAATTTGATATATATAATGTTATTGTTCAGATCGCTAGCTGAAGCCTACACATCTTCACAGCGGTCTCACCACGTCACACGTACACAAACCATCGTGATTAGGTATGAGTGGCATTGATGGGGAGCGACAGGTGACATAATCTCGTTCATCGGATTACAGAGACTGTAAAGAGCTCACGTTCGGAAAAGATCACTTCGTAAAAACAGAAAAGTCCATGACCTGCTCTTGCCCAATTGACTAGAACAACATTGCGCCGGCTATCTCAGCAAATCTCACGAACGAAGATGATAGACTCAGATTCTGAACACAATACAAAACAGCAAAGCAGCAGCATACCCAACCAGCCCAACCAAAGTCCTCCTCTCTCCGTTTTTCAAAACTTCGTCTGGAAACCTCTCTTCCTCATAGAACGTCGTCATCACCTCTCTACTCAACTCTCCTCCCATCTTTGCAGTGTTCATCAAGCTCACACTCTGCAACAGATTCACAAACCAAAGGTTCCAAGGTAAAGCAGGGGCGCCTGCATCTCTACTTTCCCTGTTCCTCCTCACATATGTTCTAGCGAGACTAGAGATGATGACAGGACCACCAGCAGCGTCATCGAGCATGGCGCGAAAGAGACGGGGTTGGAAGTTGTAGTTGTCGCCTTCACGGAAGTCCAGACGGGTGAAGGAAGCATCGTGTTCGATGATATTGTGCTGGCGCATCATGACCAAGTCGAACGTGCCATCTTTGCGTAACAGAGGACGCAGAGGGTTTGTTATGGCGGATGCAAGTGCCTTTTCCATGTGAAGCGCTGTCATTAGAGCTTCTTCGACTTGAGGTAAAGTGATGTTTTTGCCATCGCGAGGNNGCTGTAGATTGGTTAGTGTCTGGTAGCAGGTGAAGGTTTGGTAGACGCACAGGTAGCCTTGGTTTGCCAGGGCGTTGAGACCTGGACAAGGGCCGCGGTCGGTGATGTTGCCTCTGGCATAGTAGTGGTCGCCACTTTTGGAGTTGGTGAGGGCATTGTCGTTTCATGTTGAGACATTGCCGGTAAGAAGACCTTTAACGAGGTCTGTCAAGCCAAGATACATTTTGGAGATCGAATACAGATATGGCGCCTGGAATAGAAGCAACTCGTTATGATAAGAAGAGAAAACAAAAGAGGTTTTGTGCTTGAAGCAAATACTCAAGCTTGATAACATAATGCGGTGTCATGGATATAAATTCCAACCATCCCATTCTGTCAGAGCTGGCATTCCGCGATACCCTAAAGCATCGAGTATCAACCTCAGCTCGTAGGTATCTTCATAACAAAATAATCCCGCGCGTGCCTGCATGTGATCAAGAAGCCTGTCAGATTCTAACAGTATGGCGAAGGATTCGTGGTGGAACGCTAGTGCTGACATGCAGCCTGATTGGCATGCATACAGCAAATCCCGATCACACAACAACCGCCAGAACTCCGTTCAGCTCTTGAAGGGTCTCCTGAGAACTGCCTGTATACCTCTGGTGACGAAAATGTCTGGAAGGTCGTACGATGGCGCGTACCTGATTCTGATCCTGATCCTGCAAAAATTGGTCTGAGCTGTATGAGAAGAGCTGCGTGTGTTGGTTGCGACATGCGAGAATGGACTGACAGGTCGCATAAGGCCATCCTTGGAAGGATCAGGAACGCATGTGAAAGTGCTATAACGTATCCCTTACCAAAAAGGATATTGGTTGTCCCCCTGCACAGCCTACCCTTAACCGCCACGAGCTATTCCGAGCACCTTTTGCTTCGTAGAAATAATCGAAATATTCCAGCTTCTCCATCATCAGCTTTCGAAGTCATACCAAAAGCTATCAACATGGACCCACCAAATTTTCGACCAGGCCTGTTGGACAGACTCCTTGTCGGTTTCTTTCATTGTGTAAATCTGTTCATCCCATGGCACAAACTTCCTAGTATCTTTGGTGCACTCAATCTCGATGCTCTGCGGGTCGAGTTGCGACAATACAATCTTCATGATGGGTATGCTTCTGCCACAGCCCAGGGCAATACCGACGATACTCCATTGGATGACAAACGCTTTCTTTCTGCAAGAAATTCGGATGGCAAGGACAACTCGCTCACCATGCCCAAGATGGGTTGTTCTGGCATGCGCTTCGGTCGCAACTTCCCTCGGAAATATTGCGAGAAGCCGACTGAGCAGGAGCTTTGGACGCCAAACCCGAGACTGGTCAGCGAAGCGTTCATGTCCAGAAAGCCGGGAGAGTTCAAGCCGGCGACTACACTGAATTTGCTTGCTGCTGCTTGGATCCAATTTCAAGTTCATGATTGGGTGTTCCACGAAAGTGTATGCGTGATGTTTCACGGCTGTCAGATTGATCGAATACTGACGAGTTTCCTTAGNAGTGAAGAGACATACGATGTACCTCTCCTTCCAAACGACGACTGGCACGAACAGCAGATGAAAATCTACCGCACCAAGTCCGATGAAGAGCTCGACGCATCTGATAAGAAGTGTCCTGGCTACAAAAACACCTCGACCGCTTGGTAAGCACGCCACCTCGCACAAGTATATCTCGTCTAATTTAGCTGCGCAGGNTGGGATGGCTCACAAATCTATGGCTCAAGCGAAGCCAAAACCAAAGAAATGAGAGACCAACAAGAAGATGGTAAATTGTTGCTCGAGACAAGAGGAAAAGAAGAAACCTTCCTTCCTCGCGATACCGAAGGCAATCCCAAGACTGGTTTTTCAGACAATTGGTGGACTGGTATGGAACTGCTGCACACTCTGTTCGCCTTGGAACACAACGCCATCTGTGACAAGATTCGTGCGGCTCATCCTGACTGGAACGGGTAATACTTTCGGAGTCGTGCGTACCTGGATGGATGCTGACGAGACATAGTNGACAAGATTTTCGACAAGGCTCGCCTTGTAAACTGTGCTCTTATGGCTAAGATCCACACAGTGTACGTGACTAGGATTCTGGGCATCACGAGATCTGGCTGACTGTCGGTTGTAGTNGAATGGACGCCTGCTATCCTGGCTCACCCAACACTTGAGATCAGCATGAATGCAAATTGGTAAGTCAATCTTCGACTTGGTCGTAATATTCTGCTACTGACACTTCCCAAGNNGTGGGGTATCGCAGGAGAAACTCTGAACAAGATTGTGGGTCGTATCTCAAAGACCAGCGAGGCCATCAGTGGAATCCCAGGCTCGACGGTCGACCACCAAGGTGTTCCATACTCTCTCACAGAGGAGTTTGTTTCTGTATACAGGATGCACTCACTCATNCCCAGGTAAGTTCGACACCGCGATTTAGGTCAGCTTGGTCCTAACATTATCGAAGATAACGTTGCGTTCTTTGATGTTGAAGATGGCAAGCACAAAGCCACGATCCCGGTATCAGACATCACCTTCAAAGATGCAGTCAAGCCTCTCAAATCTGGTGGGGTGTCCTTCGGTGATGCCTTCTACTCTTTCTGCATCAACTATCCTGGTGCCATCACCAATAACAACTATGCCAACTTGATGAGGAACTTTCCCACTCCGGATGGTCAAGTTCGTGATTTGGCTACAATCGACATTCTCCGCGATCGCGAACGAGGAGTGCCACGATACTGCCAGTTCCGAAGACTTCTCCGCATGTCCGTTCCTAAGACATTCGAGGAGCTGACTGGCGGTGACAAGAAGCTCGCAGCGAGACTTAGCGAAGTCTACAGCGGCGACATCGAGACCGTAGACGCACTCGTGGGCTCTCACAGTGAACAGGTCATCAAGGGTTTCGGTTTTAGCGAGACTGCATTCCGCATCTTCATCCTCATGGCCAGCCGAAGACTCAAGAGCGACCGATTCATAGCCGGACAGTGGAATGCTGATATGTATACCAAGGAAGGCTTCGATTGGGTCCAAAATACTGGTATGAAGGATGTGCTGAAAAGACACTTCCCAGAGCTGGCTGCAGTCATACCGAAGAAGACAAATGTGTTTGCACCTTGGGTGAAGTTGCCTGGGTCGAGAGCTTACACTGGGGTCGAGACAAATGCTCCCAAGGCATGATCAGAGTGTGAGGTCAGGTGTCGAACACGACAGGCGGTGATTTTGTTCTTCATAGTATGTCAGATAGATATGAAGCCGAGTCATGTGAAAGATGTCACTTTGCTGCCTTGCATGGTGAGAACGACCGTGCGAAAGAGGCCCGCTTGTCAAGCTTGGCCCACAGTTAGACCGGGAATAAGGTAAGTAGTTACAGCTGCCGATTGACCAAGTATACAGTGTTCCTTGGCTTTCGCAGTGACTCGATATCGTTCCTTCGATATACTGGTAGAACCACGGATTGCAGAGGTCGATCGATTGATAACATCCACTCCAGGCGAAGCTCTCGGCTCAAACTCGGTGGGTCTGTAGCAATCATAAGTTCAGAAACATTGCACTCTTTGAGGTACTGCAACAATCTCGTGTACAACATCTCCTGGCCATCATGGGATTGGGCACATTCCTACTCTGCGCCTTTATGGCTTTGACAGCAGTGATGCTTCAGAACATAAACTTCTCGGACCACTTCGTCGCGTTGGGCATTATGGCTACACCACCACCGATCCAGGCTTGCGAGAGCGCTTCACACACTTCTACACTTGTCGCAGCCATGCCACGTAACAAGGGTGATGCCGCTCTGGTCATGGCAGCAGTCGTCCACACAAAAGCTAGCCAAGGAAGTTGTGAATCTGCTGCAGGCAGCGCCGCCGATATCAACTTCAGGTATACCCCTCAGGACGGGCGTTGCCACACGACGGCCAAGATGGACGATATCGAGAGAGCGCTGAAGCAAGCGCTGGACCTGCCTGGCCAAGGCTCTATCCATTCCACAATGTGCCTGAGATTGACCGACGGCGGACCTTGGAAGGGCTTCGTTACGTATGGCCGCTCTGATTCATTCGACGACACTATAATCTGCAACGACACTTTGAGTTTTTCAGCGTGTGTTGTTGGTGACCATCCAGGTTTTAGAAGTGGTTTCAGCATGGGATCCATCTTCTCATACAACACAATCCCAGCGAGAATGAACAGACTATTGTCCAGAGTATCCATCAAAAAAATGGCAGGGTCTGCGCAAAATCAACCAAGATCTTGGAACAGATCGCATACAGATACCATGCGATTGGATCAAATTGCGCCCTAATGTCACAAGTCGGTATGATTGAAGCCGCACTCCATCACCAATTAAAGGAGATTGATGCAGAGCGGATAGGAGAGCCTGTATGTATCCGCTACGATGGAGAAGGACCCTGGAATGGATGGCTGCTGTTCGGTCGCCTTGGTGAGGTGGATTTGTCCACCTACTGTGGACCGAAGGTATGATAGAGCAAGCTTGTTATTGCGGCTTTCGTCAAGCTCATCGAGCCCAGAAGTCATGAAGCAATATACGATTGACGAAGACGGCAAGGAGTGGTGATTGAGGCTCCACAATCCAGTAGAGATGTCTTATACCTTAGTGACTGCTTCTTCGTCATATCAAATGGCGCCAAAGAATCGATGACTATTCAACTTCTCCCAGTCCGGATCATGAGCGGCAATTATTTCCACGCCTTGGACTTCGAGCTCTCTGATGCGGTTGATGGTAGCAGCTGCTGCTTCCTTATTGGTATGTATACAGCAGACGTGTCCTTCGGCATCGTGCCACGTTCCGATATCCTTCTCTCCAGTCAAAAGTCTGCGGTCATGGAAAGCATCTCCTGCCAGATAGACAAGCCGGTCTTCGGCTGTCCTGACCAGCATGTTGATATGACCAGGCAGATGTCCTGGTGAGTCTACTATTAACAGACTCCCATCGCCGAACAGGTCGTATGTTTTCCTCATGTTTTCGTATGGCTGCCATGTTGGTGTTGTGTCCAGACCTTTCAGCCTTGATGATTGCTGCCACGGCCCTTCCTGTGAATCTCCATCTGGATCAGAAAGTTCAACGCTTCGATCTTCTGGCAGTAGATCAGGCTCAAAGAATGAATGGATCCCACGAGGTTTTCCTGTTGTACCATCAAGGAGAGCGAATGTCCCATGTCCAACGATAAAGGTTGAGGTTAGGAAGGCGTGTGGTTCACCGACATGGTCCCAATGAACCTCGAACTCATTCAGCACATCTCCCTCAGCTCACATATGTCTAGGATCGCTCACATGCGAATAGATGATATAATCAATATCGCTCGACAACAACCCTCCTTTGGCCAGACTACTGACGACGTCTGGCTCGGTCGTCATGGGTTGTCTTGTTGTCATGTGATGTTGAATAGGTGTAGGGTATCTTTCGGTATCTTTTCTCAGTCCCAAATCAAAAACAATCCGGGTCAGATACCCTGTCGCAGCATCGCGATGTTGAATCAGGAATGCAAGTGATGGGACAGTCTTGCGCGCCGTAACGACTGTCGGAGACACAAATTGGTATTCAGGTAATGTGAAGTGTCCTGCTGATAGTGCGTGCAAGGTTACGGTCGAGGCTTCCATATCTTGTGGCTCCTTGAGATCTAGAAGGGACTGGCATTGACTTTGCAGTAAAAGTTATCAAAAACGCGTGTGCAGCTTTGATAAAACAACTCTTTTGTAATGACCGAGGACAATTGAGTTACTGGAAGGGTCAGAATAGGGATACGCAAGATGGTTGATAGACTGTCGCATTGCTGGTGAGGGGAAGATGAGGGGTAGTCTGCTGCTCGGCAGAGTGGAAGCGCTCCGACAAATGGATGATCTCACGAATATTCGACGTGTTTGAACTCACATGGCTGATTTCCACAATTTGCTGAAAAGGAATCTTTGACAAGATAATGGCGGCAGAGTCAAGCAGAAACATCAAGACCTTCGGGTTCGTCGGACTTGGCTTGATGGGCAAACCAATGTCCGTCAACCTGGCCTCGAAGCTTGAAGACGACCAACACTTGTTCGTGTTCGATCTGGTCGAGTCTGCTGTGCTGGAAGTGTGCGAGTCCGCGCCAGACCGTGTGTCAGCTTGTCAGTCAGCGCAAGAGGTCGCCAACAAGGCGGTGAGCTTTGTCGCCTGGTCACTTCTACTTGTTTTTAGACGCTCATGAGAAGTANNGGATTTCATCATCACCATGCTTCCTGAAGGCAAGCATGTCCGAACTGTGTACACCGATGGACCTCAGAACATCTGCTCGGCACGATTGGACGGCAAGACATTGATAGATTGCTCGACCATCGATGCAGCTACGACTCTGTCAATCAAAGATCATCTCAAGCAGCACTTTCCTCAAATAAGTTTCTACGATGCACCTGTCAGCGGAGGAGTCTTGGGAGCCATCAAAGCTACGATCGCCTTCTTTTTGGGCTGCCACGAAAGCGATCCAAATCTCTCGATATTGAAAGCAATACTGGGGACGATGGGCAAAGAGATCATCCCATGTGGAGGACCTTCGTTGGGTATAGTGTCCAAACTCTGCAACAACTACCTTTCCGGCACAATCACAATCGCATGCTCCGAGGCTTTTGACATGGGCATACGCGCTGGTGTCGATCCCAAGGTTCTGTACCAAGTGTTCAGTGCGGGTACCGGTCAGAACACGATATCTGATAAGTGGTGTCCTGTGCCTGGTATCGTCCCTGAAGCGCCTTCCTCCAAAGGCTACAAGGGTGGATTCAAAGTTCAGTTAATGCTCAAGGATTACAGCCTTGCAACCAGCATGGCGGAGAGTCTGGGGTCGAAGCCAGTGCTTGGGAAAGCAGGTCTCGAGGCGTGGAAGGAGGCCAGCGCAGATTCAAGATTCTACGATCTGGACTCGAGAGTGGTGTACCAATACGTCAAGGCCAGAGGAGATGGCGAGTAGGCTGCTACTCTCGTCGACTCGTCCACCATGAACTCTCTGCTCGTGTTCTCCAGATTGGATCATTAGGCAGACGGCAGTGAATGAATCATGTTCGTGAAATGTATTCAATACATCAGGCAGTTGCGTTCGTTCTGGTGAAGAGTCGGCTTGGCACGCCACGTGCAGGCGAGCCTCGGGCGCGTCATTGTCGCGAAGCGTCGCGTACTCGTACGCCCCCAAGGCAAAGCGCAGCTGCATTCGTGCATAAAACAAGTCCGCGTCGCCACTTTGGTTGCAAAAACAGATGACCGAACATGCCTGCGTGAGTTGTGTGCTTTGCGATGGCTGGATGAAGATGCTAACACTGAGGTCAGACCAGGTGACCAGTGGAAGGACAACAAGTTCAGCAACCCGTATGAAGAGCAGAAGAACCACATCAATGAATACACGGCACAGGAGATAGCGACATTACAGAGTCGTCTTGACAAACAACTTGGCCCCGAATACATCTCGACACGTCCAGGAAATGGAGGAGGCAAGGTGCACTATCTCGCTGCCGAAAAGGTCATCAATCTTGCCAATGAGGTCTTTGGCTTCAACGGATGGAGCAGTGCTATCAGAGATGTTCAGATCGACTTTGTGAGTCTTGTTGACACTCTACTGGTATGGCATGATGCTGACTTCCACAGNTGCGACGAGAGTCCAACGACAGGAAAGATCAACTTGGGCCTGTCGACCATCGTGCGTGTCTCACTGAGAGATGGTACTTTCCACGAGGTATGATAGCTGCTTGCTGAGCTTGTGTTTGCTTGAGCTGACACAGTACAGGATGTTGGCTATGGACACATCGAAAATTGCAAGGGCAAAGCAGCTGCCTTCGAGAAAGCAAAGAAAGAAGCCGTGACCGATGCCCTGAAACGTGCATTGCGCAACTTCGGAAACGTCTTGGGCAATTGCCTATACGACAAGGACTATCTTCAGAGAGTGACCAAGGTCAGGGTTGCGCCAACTAAATGGGATGCCGAAAACCTACACCGACACCCAGATTTTGCTCCGGTCAAGAAAGAAGCCCTCGCGGGCCCATCGACTTCCACAACCATCGCTGCACCACCACCAGCACGCATGCCCAGTGCTCAATCAAACACTTCTGAGTTCGAGGACGAGTTTGGAGGAAATCTATTTGACGAGGTGGACTTCAGCCATCCTGACGAGGTACATTTGGACAACTCTATTACCGATGTCTCTGTCGAGACGCCAGTCCGACCACCTGCCAACTCTCTCTCAGCACAAGCCCTGAATCGCCAACAACCGAACAGGGTAGCATCCATGCCCAACGTCCGCCAATTCTCAGCTGGTCCTCAGAATGGTCAACAGAATGGTCAGCAGAACGGTCAGCAATCACGGCCTCAAGCACCATCCCAGACCTTCAAGCATTCGAACAACACGAACAACCAACCACCGAACCGTATGATGCCTCCACCTCAGCAAGCCAACAACCAGAATGGCTTTCGCTCAAATCCTTCCTCTGCCACCGAATCAACAACTACCAACGGTAGACAGAGTACACCTCCAGAGTCGATGATCACACCTTCACAAGTACCGGCGCATGTACCGTCTGGCTTTGTTTCAGGAGCTGCAGCTTCTGCTTTGGTCCAACCGCCCGAGGCAGGTGCCATACCTCCGATCAAGCTATTCGATCCCCACCACGAAAGTCCCTCAATCAGACGAACTCAAGGAGTTGATCTCCGCAAGTCGGCACCGATCAAGCGTTCCGAAGTTGGCGCTCCGACTGTGCCGATACCAAATCCGAAACTTATGATCAATGGAGGAGCACCTGCTAACAGATCAAACTTCGTCAACCCTGCCATGGATGCTGGTCGACGTATCGGCATGCCAGGCGGAATGCAGCAGAGCCCATTGGCAAATAGAAGTGCCTACAAGCCTCCTGCAATGAAAAGACCATTGCCAGCAGAAAATGCTGCTAGCAGACCACCACTGGCCGACATGAGCAATGTTCAGCAAACCGATGGGGCTAGTGATCCCAAGAAGCCAAAGCTCGATGCTGTGCAGGAGGCACAACCAGCCAGTGGAGAGATGGAAGCTGCGGCTTGATGAAGTTGAATTCGATGTGAAGGCATGGAGCGAGGCGTTTGTTCGGTTTAGAGGCACTCTAGCATGAGAGTAGGTTTTTGGGCACATATTGTGGAGTATTGTGGGGTTTCGGAGCCTGGGGTTTGCTGGTACGGGATAGTGATGATATCCTTGGCTTGGTAGCAATAGGGAGAATACTTCTCGAAGCATGGAAAAGAAAGCTTCAGGAGCGAGCATGGCGAATATTGAAATCTTCCATGCTGCTCTCACCACCAGCATCTGTTCTCTTGATCTTGACTTGACGTCGTTCTTGTGCATTTCCACTGCCAGAAGCAGCAGGCTGGGTAGCCTCGAGGACTAGGGGACCCTCAGAAACGAGTTTCTCAATGACCTTGACCTTGCCCTCAGCACGCTTGAGCCGATCATCAAAGTCAGAAACCGAGTCTTCGTTGTTCTCGGTAGACAAACTCTCAGCCTCTGTCAAAGCAAACAGCGTCTGCAAATGTTTTTGAAGTCTGGCGCCACCAGACAATTTTGGCAATTTGAACTCGTTCTCTTCAGCAGAATTTTGATCAGAAATCCTCGCTTCCCAGATGGCATTCCTACCGGCCAGATTTCCCATTGCGGCGAACTTTTCAAAGCCCTTTTCGAGACCGAAGAGGCGGCCTTCGATGCGGCCGGCGCGGGAACCGTCTGCTACGCCGAGATTGTAGCCTTCGTTGTAGTATTCTTCTTCGAGGTTGAAGAGCGAATCAAAGTCGTCGGGTTGTTGGTTTGCCATGGTGTATTTGTGCCAGAAACAGATCGAGTTTTGTTTCGAGATTATATTGTGTCTTCTCGTGGTCTTGGAGTTGATCTGATGTTTCCAATGTGTACAGAAAGTCCTGGTATGGAGGTAGGGCTGACTAGCGATGGCAAAGGTGGGATGTCGGGTGCAGCCGAGCAGTTGAGTCACTTTTGGACCCCTCCCTCAAGAGCTGAAACTCGACCGTACAGCAGCACGCGCCCGATTGAACAGCAGCGCCTGTTCTACGCAATTACCCTCAAATCAAATCGCAGTCAGCACAAACACGCCGACGCACTAGTATGAGCGAGCGCAAAGAGATTCTCCCTGAGGAGGGCAAGAAGAACATCCTCATTACTTCTGCCCTGCCCTACGTCAACAACGTCCCTCACTTGGGCAACATTATTGGTAGTGTCTTGTCTGCCGATGTCTTCTCCAGGTCAGTCTAGGTCCAGCGACGTTCGCGCAAACATGGCTGACGCTCTCGTCGCAGATACTGCAAGGCTCGCGGCCTTCCCACCCTCTTCGTCTGCGGTACCGACGAGTACGGAACTGCCACCGAGACCAAGGCTATCGAGGAGAACTGCACACCGGAAGAGCTTTGCAACAAGTACCACAAGCTACACGCAGAAGTCTACGAATGGTTCAACATTGGCTTCGACATCTTCGGTCGCACTCCCACAACCCAGCAAACAGAGATTGCTCAGGACATCTTCACAAAACTCTACAAGAACGGCTTCTTGGAGGAAAAGACAACGGTGCAGCCTTACTGCGAAACACACAACTCCTTCTTGGCCGACCGCTTTGTTGAGGGAGAATGCCCGCTTTGCGCCTACGAGGATGCTAGAGGAGACCAGTGCGACAAGTGTGGTCATTTGCTTGACCCTCTGGAATTGAAGAAGCCCCGTTGCAAGCTTGATGGCGCAACCCCTGTTGCAAGAGAGACAAAACACATTTACCTGCTCCTGGACAAACTGCAGGCACAGGTTGAGGAGTGGTCAGCAAAGTCGAGCAAGGAGGGCGCATGGTCGTCCAACGGTATTCACATTACAAATTCTTGGTTGCAAGAGGGTCTCAAGCCCAGAGGTATCACTCGTGACTTGAAGTGGGGCACAAAGGTTCCTCTGGATGGCTACGACGAGAAGGTGCTGTACGTCTGGTTCGACGCCTGCATTGGTTACGTTTCGATCACCGCAAACTACACAGATCAGTGGCAGAAGTGGTGGCACAACCCCGACAACGTCAGCTTGTACCAATTCATGGGCAAGGACAACGTCCCCTTCCACACTGTCGTCTTCCCTTCATCTCAACTCGGTACTGGTGACAAGTGGACCATGTTGAACCATCTCTCCACCACCGAGTACCTCAACTACGAGCAGGGCAAATTCAGCAAGAGCAGAGGCATTGGTGTCTTTGGAAACAACGCAAGGGAGACTGGTATTCCTTCAGACGTCTGGCGTTACTACCTGCTGTCTAGACGTCCCGAGACTGGCGACACTGAATTCGAATGGACTGGCTTCATCAATTCCAACAACAACGAGCTCCTCAAGAACCTCGGCAACTTTGTCAACCGCATCGTCAAGTACGTCAACTCTCCCGTCTTCGAGGGTGTCGTGCCAGACTACACCAAGTACAACGACCCGGAAGGCGTCATTGCCACCCACAAGAAGGAAGTCAACGAAGCACTCAAGGAGTACCTGGCCACCATGGACGCCGTCAAGATCCGTCAAGGTCTGCAAGCCGCCATGCACATTTCCTACCTCGGAAACAAGTTCCTCCAAGACAACAAGCTGGACAACGCACTCGCCAAGGACGAGCCCGAACGCTGTGCTGCTGTCGCCGGTCTCGCCCTGAACCATGTGCATCTCCTCGCCTCGATCATTGCTCCATACATGCCCTCCACCACAACTGGCATCCTCGAACAGCTCAACACCTCGCTGCTCATCATCCCCGACAACTGGCAAGGTGACAGCATCACCCCCAACCACAAGCTCGGCGTCTCCGCCCACCTGTTCCAACAAATCAAGCCCGAGAAGGAAAAGGAGTGGCGCGAAATGTTTGGCGGTGATGAAGCCAAAAAGGCAAAGGCGGAGAAGGAAGCAAAGGCCGCAGCCAGAAAGGCAGACAAGGAGAAGAAAAAGGCAAAGAAGGAGGCCGAGAGAGCCAAAGCCAAGCTCGCACAAGATGCTGGCAAGTCTGTTGAGGCTGCCGAGAAGGATGGTGCTGAGGACCCCAAGGCTGGTGATGCGATTGAAGAGGTCACTGAAGGTGTCAAGCAGGCTGCTCTGCAGACTAGTTAGATGGGTTTGCATTTGAAAGGACAGGAAAGATTTTGGGATTCGTTGTTCGGCATATATCCGTCCGGTCTTTGGACTTGTAGATGAATGACCCTTTGAACGAAGAGACGTTATGGAATTCACATCATCTTCTTGAGCAGGTGCGTTGTGCGTTGTTTCCTCTTCCACGTTTGTACGGCTGCTGGAGCAAATTTGATGTACATATATCACTATGATTAAGCACATATCAACAAGCCTCTTTAGCTCAGTTGGTAGAGCGCGGCACTAGTAATGCCGAGGTCACCGGTTCGACTCCGTTAGGAGGCATTTGTTTTGCTGTTTTCATCTTCTCGATCTTAAAATGCTGTTGTATCGAGTATTTGTTTTGTTTGTGGTTCTGGGTGGTGCAAACCCATTTTTGGTGAATGGGCGGGTATTTTTGCTGCGGAAAGCCAGGGCTTGGCGTTGGATTTGTGCAATGCAAGCATCTCGGGGAAGCAGCTCACGACCCGAACGACAGCTTCTGCTTCCTGGAGGGACATTGATATGGCACTTTTTGATTGTCGAATAATCATGGACAGTCATGAGATATTATGAGATCGTTGTAATGACTACTAAAATGTTCTGCCATACTTGTTGAATGATTGCACAGCTAGATGTCATTGTCTAGCGTGGAATATTCATCCAAAAGTTGTAATCCACCACAAGTGCCATATGCATACCGTATATGAGTCTCTTAGCTATCCCTGCATGTGGCAGTAGACCAACAACTTTGTTCTATCTATGATATATCCGGACGAAGGAATTTGAATGTACATCACGCCATTCCATGATGATGATAGGTTTCGGCCAGGGTGACACTCTTTGTAAGATTGACTTGGGCAAAAACGGCATATCATCGGGCTGGACTTGAAGCTCTCGCCAACAACATTCATAGAAGCTTTCCATCTTTAAGCATATCGCGTTGCTTCTGACTGCATGCATGGCAGTGAATATGAGTTCTGAAGATATAGCCTAGCGTTCTTACATGGCTTCTCTCAGTGAGGTCTGTCGAATACTAAAGATGAGCGAGAGTAAATTGCATCCTTGCAAGCCAGGTTGGGAGACTGGGTATTCTTCTTGGTGGCTATCATGTGTTTTGGATGAGTGAGGTGGCTCCACGAGGACAGTATCAAAGGTAAATCGAGCCTCCATTCACTTTCTCTTGCATTCGGAAGCCACTGCATCAGACTTGGTCAACAACTCCATTCACCAGCTCTCTCACTCCTGCTCCGCTTACATCCTTGTCTTCCTGTTTTATTTTACACTTGCATCACACTCATCGATCTCGAATCCTTCATACAAACGTCGGAGTTCCTCCTCTCAAGCCGAGATAAGGGTTGCGCGTTGATTGATTGTTGTGAAGCGGAGCAAGTCCTCCTCTTCACTTCCCCTGTCCTCTCACTCTAATCTCGGTACTCAAGTCAGCTACCGCATCCATCTCCATCAACCTTGGAGGACATTTGTTCTTTTCTCACTTCACCTCACATCTGACTTCCTTTCTCGGTCGTCTTTTCCTCTTCCTCGGTCATCCTTTTTCCTTCCACACCTTCTCTTTGATCACCATTCGTCTTCAACACCAAGGCTGGTCCGCAGTGTTCGTCTGCGCGTTGCGTCCGACCTCAGTCAATCAAAGCTCTCTCTCTCTATCTCTTCTACACCAACGCAGCTCCTACATTTACCTGGTTTACGCGTTCATCACCAAACAAGATCCAGTCTTCCATCATCTAGATCTTTGAAATAGCCACCGAACCCTCAATCCTTGACTCATTCATTGGTCAGATCTCGGCAATGCCCAACAGACTCCCTATCCTGATCGAAGAAGATCTCAACGATCGCACAGATGTTCTGAGCCAAGCCACAGTCAACCAGCCTGCAGATCTCTCTGACATGACTGTCACTGAGGAGGAAGGTGGAGTTTCTGTCATCAAGTCTGAAGTTCTTCCCGAGATGGCCACCATCGAGCCTGCAGCTGTCTCCACTATGAGTGGCATTTGAATGCAGGGGTTTGCTCCTGTTATTCCAGTCGCCCAATATGAAAATGGCTGTGAGAGCAAACCGGAGAGCGATAACGAGAGCGACGTCGTCTCGCAGAGCTCTGTCGAGGAGTCTTGGATCCCGTTGGAGCAAGTCCAACTTTCCATGCGAATAATAGCCCTCCTGATATGTGACAGTCCACGCATTGCAGCACCGCTCATCCAGGTTGTTGTTGGAGGCCACTCATTCTCAGTGTTCAAACACATGCTTTGCATACACTCTCCGTTCTTCGAGCGTGCCCTGAACGGTCCATTCAGAGAAGCCATGCAAGACAAGATCGAATTGAAAGAGGGCTTGGACCTATTCCAGATCTTCAACCACTGGCTCTCTCTGCCCCCTCGCACACCCCCTTGGACTTTGCTGAGAAAGGCTTTGGTGTTGCCGCTGACGTTGAAGGCAAGCAACGTCAGCTGGCATTTCTCGACATCTACATCTTTGCAGGACAGGCTGCAGTTTCGTGGTCTCTGCAAGGCAGCTTTCACCCACTTCGACAAAGTTCTCAGACCCTCAGGACTTCCAGGCCGAGCAAGTGTCGCAGCTATCTGTCAGGCCGACGAGTCTCTTCTTAAAGACAATGGTCTCTGGAAGTATCTGATTGCCATCGAAAGAGACGCAAACAGATGTGGCGCTCCTCGTCGTCCAGCTGAAGACTATGGTCATCTTCCTGACCTGTTCGTCTTCGAGTTACTAAAGATGACCGAGGAAGACAGCAAGTCATATCTGCAGGTCAGCAACAAGTCTGTCGATCTTTTTGAGCTAAAGAGACAGGTCAACCATCAGGGTGGCTACGAGAGAGCCGAGCACCGCCACAAGTGGGGAGTCATCTGTGTGCAGATGGGAATTAGATTGGACAACCACCGCAGAATCTTCACACAAATGCGCAACATCTACAGAACTTGGCTGGGTCCTTTCGACAATGGAATCAAGCCCCAGGAGAGGCTGACGCTCGAGAGACAATGCCGAAGACCACTTGTCAGAAAGTTCTTCTAGCTCAGCAAGGCCCCACTGTTGGCCGCGCTGTCACTCATGTCTCGGCACCAGCTGGACCTAGTGGTTCAGGTGCCAATGCCGGATGGCGGAGACGTCTTCATGAGCATTGGTGAGCAACAGGGGAAAAAAAAGGATTCAAGGACGGAATCAAGGGAATGAACAAGACAGAGCCTGACGTATATGTACAACAGATCCCGAGCTGAGAAGCAGGAACAATATAAAGCAAGAAGCTACTATGCGTAAGAAATAGGTAGGAGAAAATAAGAAGCGCAAAGTTGGCAACTTCCTAGGTGCGACAATGTTGACGTCGACACTTTAGTAATTTATCCGCCCAAATACAACCATGGTCGTGTCTCCTGGGTTTGATACTTTTGTAGGACCCTAGGAAAGGTTCTCTTCATGGTGCTCCACCCAAAGACCAGACCATCTGTTTGTCGTTGTCTAGTATCTCAACCGTCAATCGGAAGACGTATTAGAGACTGTCAAACACTTTTGCCCCATTAAAAGCAAGAACATGTGGTATGGCGTTTACACTTTCAATCAGATTGTCATGTTTAGCAATGGTAAAAGACGGGATAACCACATAAAGGCGATTTAAGGTGCAGCTGAGGCACGCCAAAACAACAAAGATGGATCGGTACACATAGAGGATGACTTCTAGCATGGTCGCCATGCATACCAGTATTGATATTGGTGTGCAGCATTAAGTAAGATACATCTATAGCTAACAACAAACAATCATCCATCTTCTCAGATTTTCCCCTCTTCGTCACGGTCGTGAGTCCATAAGCCCATGAGTCCATAAGTCCATAAGTCCATAAGTCCACGAGTCCACGAGTCCATGAGTCCAAAAGTCTACAAGTCCACAAGTTTACGAGTCCACGAGTCCACAAGTCCACAAGCTTACTTAGAAGAGAGACAGTCTTCTCTGTACTCACTTACTAACATCGGCAGGCTCGAGCGGCTCAAACAAATACCCTGCTCTCTTACCCGAATGACTAGTTATATAATAGCTTACAGAAATGCACAGTTGCTTCTAAACCAGAAGCGTGGTCACAGAGATGCTTGTGCTCATCGAAATGGAACTTGCAAACCTTGAAAGCGTCAGGAACGCAGCCAAGGAGTTTCTCGACCAAGAAAAGCAACCGAATATCCTGGACAGAGACCCATCAACACAGAACTATTGGTGACCAAATTCGAAAGATGAATGAATGTCTTTGTGCTCGGTCGCGGAAGCTCGCAGATCAGGGTCGGCACATGCAGTTGATGAGAGTCCGGGGAAGCCGCGTGTTCGCTTTGTCAACGGGGTAGTGACACCGACTGAAACTCCTTTTTGAGACTCGACCAACTCGAGACCTGTCGCAGCTTCCTAGCAGTCTTACAGGGGAAACGTCGACTCCCTAGACCACGCGCGCAAGACTGTTCTTTGCTGTACTGGACACATCTCAGGACTCGAGCCTCACGCTTGGCATCCTTATCCGACGACGACATCGATTATCTGTTCACTGGCATGAGGTAGCAGAAGCGCATGATGCACCTCTTCCCAAACTCTCCTCACCGGAGGAGTCAGACCACATGGACCGGATCGCTGGCATGTGGTCTCCTATACTGTTCCTCATGGATGACCGGCGCCGTTGCCGACAAGACGGCAGCCGACTACTTCGTCTCGTCACTGCCTGGAGCTCCTGAGCCCCTACTCAAGATGCATGCTGGGTATGGATCCTGTTCCTAGACCACAAGGGCTCCATGCTGACACCATCCTCAAGTNCATGTCGAAATCACCCCCGAACACCACGGCAACCTCTTCTTCTGGCACTACCAGAACCGCCACATTGCAAACAAGCAGCGCACAGTACTATGGCTCAACGGAGGCCCCGGATGTAGTTCGATGGATGGTGCCATGATGGAGATTGGCCCCTACAGAGTCAAGTCCGATGGCACTCTGTCATACAACAACGGCTCGTGGGCCGAGTTCGCAAATTTGCTCTTCGTTGATCAGCCTGTGGGAACCGGCTTCAGTTACGTCGATACGGACAGCTATCTTCACGAGCTGGACGACGCTTCCAAGCAGATGGTGCAATTTCTGGAAAAGTTCTACACCATCTTCCCCGAGTACAGCAAGGACGATGTGAGTACGAAACTGCTCATCACAAACAATCGCTAACAACGACTANNGCTCTACATCGCAGGTGAATCGTATGCCGGACAGTACATTCCTTACTTGGCCGAAGCCATCCTCAAGCGCAACGCCGAGGCTAAAGGCAANAAGTGGAACCTCGCCGGTCTGCTTATTGGCAATGGCTGGATCTCGACAGTCGACCAATCTCTCTCATACCTTCCCTACGCAAAGAAGAACGGTCTGATCAAGGACGGCACCGACAGCTCCAAAAGAGTCGAAGCCCAGCACTCAAAATGTATAGAAGACCTCGACAAGGGTGGAAAAGACCATGTGGATGTTGCATCCTGCGAGAACATTCTGCAAGAGATTCTGCGAGTCAGCAACGAAGAGAAGGGCAAATGCGTCAACATGTATGACATACGCTTGGACGACGCATACCCCAGCTGTGGCATGAACTGGCCCCCAGATCTTACTTCGGTCAAGCCTTACCTTCGTCGCAAGGATGTCACTGATGCCTTGCACATCAACCCTGGAAAGACCAGTGGCTGGACCGAATGTAACGGACAGGTCGGTCAGGCTTTCAAGGCCAAGGCGGCTAAACCTTCTTATGAGATTCTCCCTGCCCTCCTTGAACAGGTCCCGATCCTGCTCTTCTCTGGTGACAGAGATTTGATCTGCAATCATATCGGCACCGAGGAGCTCATCAACAGAATGGAGTGGAATGGCGGCAAGGGTTTCGAGACCTCACCTGGTGTTTGGGCGCCTCGTCGTGACTGGACCTTCGAAAACGAACCTGCTGGTATCTGGCAAGAGGCTCGCAACCTTACATACGTTGTCTTTTACAACGCTTCGCACATGGTTCCGTTCGACTACCCTCGCCGCAGCAGAGACATGCTCGACCGCTTTATGAAGGTAGACATTGACAGTGTCGGAGGCACACCCACCGACAGTCGAATTGACGGTGAAAAGGGCCCTCTGACCAGCGTTGGAGGACACCCCAACAGCACTGCAGCCGAGGAAGCCGAAAAAGAGGCTCTGCAACAAGCAACATGGAAAGCATACTACAAGTCCGGCGAGGTTGCACTCGTCGTGGTTGTGATTGCCGTGGCAGCATGGGGATACTTCATCTGGCGTCAAAGAAGAAGTGCAGCTGGCTACCGGGGACTCTCGCTGAACCCCGATATGGATGGTATGGGACTCAATTCTGAGAACAGAAGGAAGCAGGCAAGGAGGGATTTGGAGGCAGCTGATTTTGATGAGGCAGAGTTGGATGAATTGACCAGTCCTCATGACCACGAGAGGGAACGGTTTGATGTTGGCGAGGACAGCGATGATGATGAGGATGGTAAGCCATCTTCTCATGCTCACCGCGGTAGATAGATAGGATAAGTGTCCAGTCAAAAGCAATCTAGCATCCCATCACAGCACATGTATGAGTCCGAGAGACAAAAGCATGAAGAGGTGAATGTGCAAGAGCGAGAACAATGACCAGCTAAAAGCAATTCAAAGCACATGGACGAACACAAGAGACAAAGCTTGAAAATGTGATGTGCAAGAATGACGTTTTTATTTTTCAATTTCTTTTTTTTTCTCATCTTGCTATGTAGATATATATAATAAAGTAACATCAAATCGTTCTGTCAGATACCGTCGTAGGAAATGTAGCATCAATGGACCAGCCTCGGCCCCAATGAAGGGTACCAAAGTGGAAATCTCAGTGCTTGACTCTATACCTTTTCATCATCATGTAGAACGATTTGTGTTGTTGTTGTTGTTGTTGTTGAAAGGAATCTGGCACGTTTGACCGAGCAGAGGCGTGGAAAAACAGAGCGCATGGATAGCGACAAAGCCCACCCAAAAACAGATCCGTGAAAAAATGTGTGTGTTTGTGATGTGAACCCCTCGCATCAAGAATAAGCCCCATCGAGTTACCACTGATTCCNGAAAAGAAAAAAGAGGCAATCGCATATCTTTCGACCTCGACGNNAAAAAAGATGCCGNNTGATGCCCGACCTGTCAACTCCCACAGCTGCAAAGACCGCGAGGATTACCAAGACGAACCTGTTGCCTCCTCCTCATGACGCCGAGAGGACCCCAGAGCCAAGNNCCCCTCATTGCCCGGCCGCGGACTCATATCCTCATCCCCCTTGCAGGCGAGGCGACCGAGCGAAGGACCAGCAACGAGAAGCCAACAGCGCACATGGAGAGTGCAGACGGCAACAGGGACGATCTCCGAGGATGTGAAAAAAGGCAGGGCAAAGGCGAGTAAAGCCGCAGGTGTGCTTGCATCTATGGCGGCGCGTTTCCGCGTACCATGAGTAAACCCATGGCGTGTCCGGGGACTTTCTCCCAAAGCTGTGTGTGTGAGGAAAAGAAAGAGGGTGAGCCCTTTCGGTGTGGAAGCTTTGATTGCGATTGTTTGAGCGAGAGGGTTGGAAGGAAAGAGAGACAAAAGCTTTGCAAGCAAGAAGATTTTAAAGCTTGCGCTCTGCGCAGTGACGCGGCGGAATGTCGGGGATTTGGTAGTGCCGGGCGGTGGAGGCTTAGCGGCTCGCAGCGACTCGTTCGGCGTGGTGAGCTCAAGTTTCGTAGCTGCTGCAATAGAAGTGGTTGCTGCTTGTCGCATACTCGTTCACGCTTGGCTTTCTTCTCTGTTGCTGCTTTTTGCTGAGTCGATACATATTACGGTACGTTATGAATCCTCGCGCTCTGTGCTCGTGGGCTATATGGCTTGCGTCCGTCGCGCATTCTGGCGCGAAACAGCAATACCATGGACGACCGCAACGACGACGCCGAGGACTATGAGGACCCCTTCCTCCCTACTCTCTTCTTCCTCCCGTCCTTACCCCTGTGCTCGCCCCCATACGCAGCCCACAGCTAGGCCGTGTGTCCCGTTTTATCGAAACTGGTCTGACAGAAGTTACCATAGACCCACCTATCACACGCGTTATCACTCTCACTATCGCTCGCCTTAGCACAACCCACCATCAGGCATATCTCGACCAGATCGCACGCAACACACGAGAGAGACAACTCGATCAGCTGCGCTTCGACAAGGCCACCCGAACCCCTACCGAACTCGACCGCTTCGACGACTTTGAGCCCTCGGACATCGACATGGCTGGTCTCTTTGGTAGCGCCGCCTCTGCTGCAACCACTTCGGCCACTGCCACCCAAGGCAGCATCGCCAACGATGTCACCCTCAACCAATCGCCCTCAGACGGCATCCAGGACTTGAGCTTCTCGCCCGTGTCTGGCCATCTCTCAGTCGCGTCATGGGACAACAAAGTCTACATCTACGAGGTTCAGAGCAATGGTGCCAACGAAGGAAAGACTCAGATCGACCTCAAGGCCCCCGCCCTGAGCACCTGCTGGTCAAAGGTACGCTGTTTGAAAGTCTGCCCACACAAGCAGCAACTGACGTAACTGCAGGACGGAAGACAAGTCTTTGGCGCCGGTGCCAACAACCAAGTCATAATGATGGACCTCGGCAATGGTGGAGGCACCACTCAGACAGTCGCCGCCCACGACCAACCCATCAAGTGCGTGGAAAGCATCAACGCCGGCGGCCAACAAATGATCGTCACTGGTTCCTGGGACAAGACTATCAAATACTGGGACTGCCGCCAACAAAACCCCGTCGCCTCAGTTCAATGCAAGGACCGCGTCTATGCCATGGACACTCGCGACCAGCTTCTTGTCGTCGCTACTGCCGATCGCTGGGTCGAGATCTTCAACCTCAACCAGCCCGGCACTGCCTACAAGCAGATTCAGAGTCCTCTCAAGTGGCAGACCAGAACCGTCAGCTGTTTCGCCGATGCCACCGGTTTTGCCATTGGCTCCATTGAAGGCAGATGTGCCATCCAATACGTCGAGGAAAAGGACTCGAGGTGAGTTTCGTCCAACTGCCTACGACACCGATCAACCACTAACCTGCGCCCGNNCAGCTCCAACTTCTCCTTCAAGTGCCATCGCCAAAACTCACCCAACCAGCGTGACGTGTCCAACGTCTACTCGGTCAACTCCATCTCCTTCCACCCCGTCCACGGTACCTTCAGCACAGCCGGTAGCGACGGCACCTTCCACTTCTGGGACAAGGACGCCAAGCACCGTCTGAAGGGTTACCCTGAAGTTGGCGGCAGCATCTCCTGTACAGACTTCAACCACGACGGCTCCATCTTTGCCTACGCCGTTTCCTACGATTGGCACCAGGGCTACGCAGCAAAGACCCCCAATTACCCCAACAAAGTCATGTTGCACGGCATCTCTGGCGACGAGTGCAAGCCTAGACCCAATTCCAAGAAGCGATGAATGTGATGTTCTGACACGCTCTGTTTTTTCATCAACGCAGAGCCGGAAAAATCTTTGCTTTAATCACGACCAATGCTGGGGTGGGAGGCTACACGAGGGAAACTGCCCGTGTACACATCTGAGCATGAAGCGCGGCGCACGGCGTTACGAGGGCTTTGCTATTGAGAAGGAGATGAAGGAAAGCAAAACAGGCGGGGGACGAAGGTCGGTCCCATGAAGGACGGATCAATTGCTGTTTTATGTTCAAGAAGAGAGGAAAAGAGGGTCTCGCTTCGCTCTCGTATACATTGCTTCTGCCCTTTCTCACCACATATATAGGTAGCTTCGAGGGTGTTGCTGAGGGTTAGCTAGGTGATGCTGTTTCAGTCCCTTGTGCAGATCGAAAGATGAAGAACCTGATTGACATGCTAGTATCTTGAACAACTTTCTTTTCCTTCCACACATTCAATCTGATCGAGTCCACTCTATCTGGCAGGGGTGTGTAAATTTTCCTGAGAAGAACGTTTGTCTCTTTGGATATCATCCCTTTCCGAAACGAAAAAAGAAAGAAAGAAAAGAAAAAACCCCCCTGTATATTTCTACAGCAGATAAGTATTAATCGCTACATGCTACATTTGTTGAGAAGAGAGTCAAATGTTCAAATGGCATTCACGGCTTTTCTCTCTCTCTCTCTCTCTCCGTTTGGACGTTATTTTCTTTCCAGCAAAAAAAAAAAAAGAAATTGTGTACTTGTTCAGCTGAGAAACATTGCTGCATGTACCTGTAAGAAAAAGAGAGCCGATTACAAAGATATATATATATATTCATATATGTAAATATCAACACGTTCTTTCTACAGACATTATTCCCAAAGTGTATTGTTGGTATACACGGTACTTGTTTTCTCAAAAAACAACAAGTATGGCAATCGAGATGTGCTGGAGAGAATATCCTCTACTTGAACAACAACCCCTGTCAAGAAGTATCCTGCAGTTTTGGAAGCCGAAAAAATATGGCTACATCTCAAGCTGAGAGAGAGAGAGAGAGAGAGAGAGAGAGAGAGAGAGAGAGAGAGAGAGAGAGAGAAGAGCAGAATGTAAGGTATATCTTGCAAGTTGAGTGGAACTTTGGGAGACAGGGCGTTGTAGTGACACCATCTTCTTACACATGATAAAGACTATTCAGGTGTACTATGGGGACGCACAATAATTTCCAGATCGAACTGGAAATACTTTGAGAAGACAGTCTCTTCTTGGAAATCACCTATTTACAGAAAGCGTTGAACTTTTCTGTAGCCGAGGACATGACTTCATATTCTCACAAGGGGAAGGATGACTAACAAGCAAGAAGGTTGCAGGATTGTACTTTAGCTACTGTATCTGACATCATGCCTCGTCTGCCTTGTCATCTTCATCCTCGAAGGGAGTCATAGTGACAAGAATATTAAAGTCCTCAACGGCCTTGTACTCGGCCTGAATCTCATCCATGCCCAAAAACTTCAGATGCAAGCCATCAAGCTCGAACGTATCCTCATCCGGAGCGTCACAGATAGCAAAAATTACACTGGGCAAAACCTCGTTCTCCAGAGAAGGATCATGTAGACAGTAGAGGGGGCAGGTGACGCAGAACTTGGCCGATCCATTCCACGATTGATTCTCATTGATGAGTTCTTGCAGGAACTCGACCGTTTTCTGCTTCCAGGCAGCATGTCTGCCCAACTCAAATGAATGAGCTGGGCCGGCTCCAAGGTCTTGCTCGGCGTCGTACTCAGAAGAGAACAGGAACAAGCCGAGTTTAGACATTCTACCTGTCAGTGTCCGAATCGCGGCTTGAAGATCTGTGGTTTGGGTGTTAGTATCCTTCAACTCAGGGAGTGCAGTGATGACCGCTTACCGCAGTGAGGAATCGCAACATGGTTGAAGATTCTCAGATCAAGATACTTCAGCTGAGTAAGAATCTTCTCGGGCAACATGGGTGGCTGCACCTGGTAGGACTGCACCTGATAGGACCGCACCTCTTCCCGGGCAGTGTCTTCCTCGAAGATGTTCCAGCCGGTGAACAGCAGCATCTGGGGAATGACGAAGAACGCATATTCGAATAAAATCTGCTTGTTGGTTCGCATGATCGCAGGATAGAAACAACCAATGACTATGTTCTTTCCGGTTGAGACACAACCAGGCACCTCGAGGTCGGGGATTGTAACAGCAACAACTTTGTCCTTGAGCTGCGCGTAGACCATGTACCGAAGCTCATTAGGGAGATCCAAGAAGCGGAATGGTTGTATCTCAGGGGGCACAGGTGTAGCCATGCCTAGAAGAGCGCAAGCGGGGTGGCATGATGTATTGGAATGCGTGGAGAAGGGCATCAACAGTGCGATTTCAGAGCGTAAGACTAGTATGCACAATTATGTCAGTGTGGGTACCGTGAGCGTAAGACTGAATAACATACGCTTTCCGAGGTACGCAGAGTTATGTTTGATGCTGAGTGCGCACTGAAGATGGTGCAATTGAAGCTGGCGGTAGGGTGATGGATGTGTTGCAAGATGCGTGCGCTGGCGAAGAGGCGCAGAGGGAGATGAAGAGGCAAGACAGTGCCCAACGAGACACGTGCTGGTAAGATGAGAGACAGCGCAGGTGTTTTGAAGGTGGATGGTGTTGAGCGACGTGATGGGAAAGATGTCAAAAGACGCGCGCAAACTCAAAAGGCGTAAGTCGTGAATGTGTTCCTGCAAAGAGGAAACCACTCACTTTGAAAGCTGCCTCCAGTGAGAAAACGCGGAGAGAAGAAAGCGCAAGTCCAAGAAAAGGGATGCACAGAAGAGGAAAGTGCAAGTGTAGGAAAGTTTTTGATGAAAGACAGACAAGAAGTGCAACATTGAAGGTGGTTGCCGCGAGGAAGGAAGCGCTCGAGTGTTGCCTTCACTTGTGACTGCTCTAGCAAGTTCTTGCATAAAAGTGTTTTCGCGATGCAACAAGACAACACCAAGTACAACCAAGATTGGATCAAGTCCTCTTCCGCCATTGCTCCTTGATGCCGGTGCCAGTACCTACAAGCTCTGCACATTCAGTCTTCGTTTCACGACATTCTGTATCTTAGGATTTTCTGGGAGTGGAGCGAAGGTGTTTTCGTGACTACCTACTGTATCTGCAACTTTGCATTCTTTTTTTCGTCCATCACATTTTCCGGACTCGCATCAGCCTTTGGACAGCCGCTGGTACATTCAAACTCCTCGGCCGCCCATGCTTGGTGTGTGTTGAACAATACGACATGCACACTCGAGCGATTGAGCCAGTAGTTGCAGACTGTGGGTGCAATCTTGCATGTCGCCTGTCTGACCTCTTGCTCAGTTCATGTCCTCCACTTGCGAGTCTTGACCTGGTCTGTCATGTTATGCCTTCATTCGTGTCCGATGATGTCGCGTAACAGAGCGTTGATCGAGGAAGAGTACTACATCATGTCCTCGGCACGTCTGCGTTGAGTATTGCGATCTCTCATCTTGTCGGCGAACAAGTCATTTGGCTCTGCCCCACTGCTGAACTTGGAAGGGAACAATTCCTTGACCTTTGGGTTGACTTCACGAGAAGCGCCGCGGATCGAGAAGCCCGGCACATCTGCTTGGGCGTTACCTCTGATGCTGAAGCCGCTTGGCTCTGGACCTCCTGTTATGCGATCAGCCAGGCNTGTCTGTACATTGAGTTAGCTACAGTTCAAATCTCGACTTCATGAGCACGACGTACGCCTGATGCTAGCAGTCTCACCAGCGTCCAAGGCATCTGAGCGGCGGTGGTTGCTGCGAGCAGACTTGTTGGGGAACAGCTCTCTGTTGCGCTTGGGAGGACTTGTCGAGGTAAGAGGTGTATCGAGGCCAAAGGTCTTGGTCGTACTCTTCGCAGGCAAAAGCTCTATCGGACCATTGCTGGCGCGAGCTGTGGGGATAAGATCCTNTTTGCGAGGGGCGGGCGATATGGTTCTGCGACGGGCGGTTCTGCGTTCAGGTTGTTCCTGACTGAAGCCGTATCGTCCATCACCGTCCCTGACAGGAGATGCGCTGCGATCACGTAGTCTGCCTGTTTCCTTTCCAGCAAACAAATCGCCTCCGCGCGGCCTCCTCGGGCGATCGTCTCTGCGTCGGGTATTTTTGCGGTCATCTTCGTCATCGTAGCTGAGTGCCGGCGACACTTCTTCTGCATCGTCGTACATGTTGACGTCGAAAGGCTTGGGAGCATCGGGTCTTTGCCTGTTATCTCTTCGCGGGCCTCGCCTTCTGTTGTCGTAGTCTCCTTTGCGCTCTCTCGGGTCGTGATCGGGGTTCATGAGGTAGAAGCGACTTCTCTCGTGGGCGCGGGGAGCCTTCTTGTCGGCGAGAGTGGCTTGGCGGATGTAGAGTTCGGTATCGGGGTTCGAGGGTAGCGTCTTTGCCCTGCGCACTTGTAGAGGATCGACATTGTCGGTGTCTTGTAGGTCGGAGAGAGCGATGAGGGCCTCTTGAGCGGCTTGCTCTGACTCGTAGATGAGGTTGGCTGACGTGTCGTCGATCCACTCGACGCGTTGGAAGTCATCTAGCGAATAATACTCGCCAGCAAACTGTCTGATGTTGTCGGTGGTGAGGTTATCCAGACCGCGGATGTGAATCTTCGTCGGGGCGAGTTCGTCGAGATTGTCGGCAGGGGTAGAAGTGTTGACGTCTTGAGTATCGATCTGGGCGGAGCGGGCTTCNNCTTGACAAGTTCAGCGTGTGTCGCGCGAGCGTGCGATGGGTCGGCGTACAATCTTCATGGCCTCAGCCTCGAGCTGGGCAATTTCGGGGTCCAAGCCGAGGTCGATATCCATGTCGACGTCCATGTCAATGTCGGCCATGGTGGATAGTCGCGTGTGTGTCGTGTGTAGTGATGATGTTTGGGAGAGGCTGACTTTCTGGATTGGCGACTCTAGCGACAGCTAAGTGCAGAGGTCGTGTCAGCAAGAGGAAGGGTTTGGTATGGCTGGTGTTGGCTTCGAAGTGATCGAGATGCGAACGAGTGACGATTGACACGCATGTGAAGTCTCGAGTCTTGGTCCGAGCTTCTCAAACTGACTCAGGGCTTCTATACCACAATCGAAACTTGATGACTTCTACCTCCCAATCCGACACACACAATTCACAGCCTGGCGGAGAGGGGTATGTTATGAAGATATTCCAGTCTCTTCGTTTGGTACAAGCGCTGCAACACGTTTTGTTTGGGACGCGTAGGCCATACATCCCTCTTGAGTCGAGTTTGAACTGTCCATTCAACATCACAACTATGATCATCATCACCAGTGTGTTGCTTTGTGTGATTTCAATGTATGGTCTCTTGCCATGCGTCCTAGAGCTGAAGTGCCTTGTTACACAAAGCAAGGCACAAACATTGGCATCCCTGGACGGAATGTCATGCAGTCAAACGGACCGAGCCAAGCTGCAGCTATCCTAGGCATGTTGCTTCAGTTCCCGTACTCTTTGCTTCTCTCTTTTTCTGCTCAAATCAAAACGAAACAATCCCCATCTTCACTCATTGTCGTCCGCCTTGGTTGCCTTCACCCCACGAGCCAGCTCCTTTAAATCTCGCACTCCTCGAAAACTACATTCCTTTGAATCCGTCCTCAAGTCCGCCCCACCAACCCTTCCACAATTCACAACACAACTCCGCCAATATGTTCTCCAAGATTTCTATGGCCTCCGCAGTCCTCGCACTGTTGATGCAAATCACAATCGCTACTCCCCCCGCCTGTGTTATCCAGGCCGTCAAGCAAGTAGTTTAATGCGCAATAGCATAGTAAACTTCTGACCATGCGCAAACAGCCAGTCTGGAAAANTCCCCCGACAATGTCAAGGACATCTGCGCCAATGGCAGCACTGTCGAGCAGATCCTCGTTAGTGACTGTGGCAACACCTTCGACGCTGCCATGAGCGCCTTCTCCAGTATCTGCTCTGGTGTTGGTGTCACCATCTGTAAGTTCAATGAACGCCCGCATTTGGCTCTAAAGGCGCCGACTGACATGAACAANGCTACTTGGAGTACCGCCATATCGCCCACTACTCTTGCCAGCTCTCCCGCCGTCATTATTGCCGGCGCTTCCACCATCTTGCCTACCAGCGATGTCAAGACTAACTCCGTTTCGACCTCGGTCCTTGCTTCGGCTTCCGGCACCGAGTCAACTGTCAAGTCTACTGACACAGTTGTCAAGTCCACCGACACTGCAGTCACCACTGCTACTGGCGTTCTCACAGAGACCAGCACTGTCACCAGAACTCAGGATGCCGACTCATCAGCCACTTCATCGGGTACAGTCTCTACTGGTGCTGCTAGACACGTCGAGAAGGGCGGATTGATGATGGGTGCTATGGCCGCTGCTGGTCTCATCATGGCTTTGTAATGAACTCGTCTCCAGATCTCAACAACAGGATGGATCTCGGACTCTCGTGGTCGATGACCTACATGAGATGGTGGTCAACCAGGGTCATGGAATGTATCTCTGGCCTAGTTTGTAGAAGCAAAGAAATGAAGCAGATGTCTGCCAAATACTGTCAAAAAAAAAACCCCCGTCATACTCAGACAATACAGGCTCATTTCCATTACCTCATCGCGTGCGTGCTTCACACATCTTACAGGAAACGATTACTCTCAACAAATCAGTCAACCCAATGCACTAGTCATGCTTGTCATCAGGTAGCTGTGCATCCGACAGAGTCCCGAAGAGAATCCAGATAAGCCAAACACAACCAATACTCAAGCACTGGCCCCAGAGACAGCCATTCCTTTTGCACTTCTACTCTTCGCTCCTTCCTACCATCCGCCCAGTCTCATCCCTATCTTCAATCTTCCCACCCCCTCGCCCTCTTCAACATCCCATACCTCTCCCAAAACAAATCCCCATCAAACCTCTCCGGCCACCCACACTCCCCATAAACCTGCTTGAGTGCAGAAAACCTCACTCCCTCATCATCCCAATCATCTTCGGTTTCTTTAATCCACATCCCAGTCTCTGGATCAGGTACCCAGACCAAGTTTTTCGTCTTCTTGATCCAAGATTGGAGACAAGTGATGGCGGGTTTGTGTGGATAGTGTTTGTAATACCATTGCGGCGCGTTTTTAGGCGGTAGCTGAGTCAAAGGCGCTTGAACCTCTTTGTTTCTGATCTCGTAGATGTTGTCTGNTATTTTCCATATCATCAACTACCATCCCCCAAAAAGAAAGAATGAATGAGATAAGAGGGATAAAGAGATGTACATACTATCATCCAAATCCAACACTAGCACGTAACCCTCATCTCCAATGCAACAAGTCAAGGGAATAGCATTCCCCAGATACCCCTCTTTCGTTTCTCCTTTTGCACTCAAACNAANAGGATCTTTCCACACCGTCACAGCTTCTCCTTTTTCGTTCAAGTAATCCAATGCGCGTGTATCCGGAGCTAATTCTCTTGCTTTTGTGCCAGAGAGAAAAGGTAATTGTTTTAGAGTTTGGATTACCAAGTCACTCATTCCTGCTTTTTGCCATTGAGATAGGAGGAGAGGTGATGGTGTGTGAGGTGGTTGGGAGATGTAGGTTTGCTTGTTGGAGGAGTGGTGGTAGGGGAGGAGGAGGTGGAGGGTATACCATTGGGTTAGCAGGGCGGCGAGGGCTTCTATGGTATCTCCATGGGAAAGATTGCGTTGGTGGATGGGAATGTTGGGCATTGTTTGCTTTGTGCTTTCGTTGGTTAGATGTGGAAGGAGAGGAGAGAGGGTTACTGTTGGTTCATGGAGTGATGTCGATCTTCCGGTGTTTTGCCGGAGCTCTTTGGTGTTGAAACGGTTTTCTGATATCCTACTTGCGACACCGATTTACTTGAGAACGCAAAAGGAGCTACAAGATGGTCGTTCTCATGGATATACCGATACATTCAGTGATTTTATCATGTATACGGAGATGCGCACACTATGAAAGATCGTAACACGTTTCGTGGACAAATGAACATTGAAAAGCAAACGATGAACCTCATTCTCGTTTGCATCTAATGACGCCCATCTGACACCGAAATCTCGCTCTTTGGAGGCTGTGGCAGTGTCCTTCCGAATACAGCTCTCTCGACATCTTTCGAGGACCATCCTCGAAGACACCAATCTCATCAATCTCGTCCCACTCTCTGGCTCTTGTAGCTATTGTCTCGAACACTTGCAAGAGCTGCATATCTGAATGTTTGTACATAGGCCGACACCCTCCACCAGACTTTGTCTCTAGGTCAAGTCGATCAGTTCAACCCCTTTGAACTTCTTGACAGATGGCACTCTTGGTGCTCGCGAGTCGTTGTGTTGTTTCGTCTTGCGTATTCTCTGCTCCGTCCAGATCTCTCGCACCTCTTTGTCGACTTTATCAAGCTTTGAAAAGTCGAATTTGACCTCGAGGATTGTTGTGGTGCCGTCGAGGCTAAGATGTTCGACGTCAATGAAGAGGGTATTCTCCTTGCACTTCAACGATTTGTAGAGAAGCCATGTCAAATACTCCACACGTCGCTGAGTGTTCATGCAGAGCCTGTTGTATTGTACAGTGTGTTGACATCTGTGCTGGTCTGTAACTGACTGACAGACGCGGTGTGCTTTTACCAGATCGTAGATGTCGCCCTTCATCCATTCGCTGTGTACATGGATTCTCGCCCAAGACAGCTCGTAGCATTCCTGCATAAGTCGCCTCAGATTTTGGTTTTCCTGGCGAATGGCTTGAAGAGACTGGCTGTTCTTGTTGTCGAGATGTGAGGCATTGTAGCAGACTAGGTTTTCCAGGTCATCTAGAGCCTCTAGGTCGACATGGACCATTGCTAAGTAACCCTTGACATGAGCATCCAGTCCATTGAGCACTGCATTTAGGTGCGAAGCATTGACAACAAACACGTTGTTTCTCCAAANATGGCGTTGTGCCTCTCGCCAGACTACCCGATGTTTGGGTGGTAGAAGATCAAGAGCAGAGGCGGCCAGGAACGAACGAGCGTGTTGATTGGGGACCGAAGCGATACAATGCGTCAGTAGATCGGTGCTGATAGTCGAAGGGTCAGATAGCTCGATCATACCGGGAGCCTCTAGCATGTCATGATACATTGTCAGTCTTTCCATCACTGGCAACTCCATAAAAGCACCGATACTGCGGCCGGAAAAGAGCTCCTTCGCCATCAGAGCTCTAAACTCTTTGGCTTTCTTCGTGCGCCAAGCTGTTGGTTGAACTTGCGATCGAGCGGTTGGTTCAACGCCATGCTTTCGGAGGTTGGAACGGTGTTGCTTTCTCTTAAGACTCCTAAGCTCCTGGGCCCATTCTGAAGTCCAATCTGCTGTCTTGTCTGCGTTCATTTCTGCTTCCAGTATGGCCCGCGCTGATTCGGGGAGGAAACTTTTGTCAGACAGAAGAATCTCATGGAACGATTCTGGTCTGCCCTCAACCTTATATGGAATAAGAGGTTTGGGAAGGGAAGTGAGAGGAAGGATAGTTTTTTCTCCACCTGAAGTGTCGTCGAAAGTGGTTAACCAGCGGGTCAATCTCTCGGGCTCATATGGTTTGTGCATGTTATAGAGTGTCGGGTCTTCATCTTCAATATCCTCGACTCCGAACATTGGTGAATCGACCAAGTGTTGGCTGCGAGGTTCTTGGTCATTGAACGCGTCGCCGCCAAATGATTTCGTCGTTTGGCTGCCCATGGTTCGCACCATCTCGCGTTTCCAACTAGAGACGAAATCTTTCTTCGTATGACTCCCAATAAAGAAAGACTTGGATTTAGTTGGCCAAGATAACAATGGTCGAGAATTGAGTAGTGATAAGGATGGTAGACCAAGGAGTTGAAATCCACAAAGCCAACACGGAAACGAGTAGAAATATGAGTCGAGATCCGGCTCGAACAGATCAGATTATCGTACTTGTTTCTGCGTGGGTCGCGTTGCTGAAGGACGGAATGAACTGTATCAAGGTTAGTGATATAGATCACAAAGAAGGATGAAACATACGACGGGTCCAGAAAATTTCATGCAGGTTCCCGAGCATGCAATGCACGTACCCGGAAGCACAACAGACAGGTCGCTTACCGAGATTGGTGATGTTGATCGTTGTTAAAATTTTAGGTGAAGATGCGAGAAGAAGAAAGCGAAATGCAGCAAGAGCACACGCGGAGATTTATACGTCGACGAACAGCCCGCCAAGATGTGTGAACGACTTGGGAAGTAACGACGATGACTTGGTTTACACTTTACCAATGTAAACTGCAAGGAACCCCTAGATCGGTCTAATCAAAAGGAAAGGGGACGAGTAACACACAAATATGAAGTACGCAAGACACTATTTACTTAGTCAAAATCAAAAACGCTTACAACCATGTAGGGGTATCCAAAACAACTTCCATCGTCCTCCTTTTCATTATGTAGACTTCTTTCAAAGCACCACGTACTAATATGGCGCTCTACTGACGCCTTCACCACCCTCGGCATCCTCTTCAGTGCCGATTGAAGACAATAGATCCCTAAGATCTTTCTTGCCATGTGTACTGGCGCCACCACCAAAGCCTCTAGCAGAGCTCCTGCTGGCAACTCTTCTGCTTGCAGGTTTGTTGACCGAGCCATCCTGACGACCTCTCTCGGAGACAGATGCTGAAGTCAGACTGCCATTGGTAACAACCTCGCCACTATTGAGTCTGAGAGCAGGTGCGGGTGGCGGTTGCATTGTGTTTTGTGACTTTTGAGCAGCGTCTTGGGTAGCCGGGCGAAGGGGAGGAGGACTATAGTCGCTGCCATCATCTTCGAGCTCACCATCTTCAACATCCATCATGCTCTCGCCCGAGTCGTCACCAGCGCCAGCACGATGCATGGACATTGCGGATGAAGGAGGTGCTTGACCAGCGAGTACGCGCTTCAGCTCCTCGACACGCATAGCTCCCGAATTGGTGACGCTGCTGGCACCATCGCCATGACCAGATGTACTATTACTGGGACGGCGGCCTGCAGGGCTTCGACTGACGAGACGGCTGCGGACTTGCGAGTGACTCGTACCAGTTCTTGCAGGACCAGATCTAGAAGTGCCTCCGTTACCAAAGGTCTCGGAAGTGCTGCGCGGACTCTGGTATGGAAAGGTGTTTGCAGCGGCGAGCAAACGACGGTGATCTCCCAGAGCGACGAGATTGGTACCTGACGGGTGTGCAGACGTGGTGCCAGCGCGCGAGCCGCTCAACGACGTCGACTTAGGTGCTGCAGCTGCGACAGTTGCGAGCAGTTCTTCTTTCGTCCAGACTGCTGTGAGCTCATCCATGCAGGATTGTGGTAGGTCGGCCTTGGATCGGCTAGGTGCGGCCAGGAAGTCGCTAGGTGCAACATTTAATGCTGGCAAAGAGAAACTGCGTCCGGGACTACCAGGTGTACCGGGAGGCGAAGCGATACTAGCGCCGTAAGTTTCCGAGATACGCTCGACCAGCTGTTCACGGTGATCGAAAGGCTTCAGCGCCTGAGACTCAACGGTAGTCTCTGTCAGTTTTGTAGGAGCAGAGGCAGCCACCTCTGCAATTCTGGCCAGGGACACAGCCGGGACCTGGAGACCGTGGACCCAAATACCAGCTTGCTGCCTGCGTACAACCTCAGTCTGGATCTCATTGCCGACAACCGAATGCTCGAAGTTGAACTTGTGAGTGACTGCCCACAAGTAGCCATGTACCAAACTACCAAGTCTGACTTTGGACTTTGGATTCTCGATGGTCTGAATATCTTCTTGCAGGCGGAACATCATCGGCAGACCAGAGCGCATAGCGTTGATACCGAGTTTAGCAACCATGGATGCAAGCAAGTAGTGCAAAAGCAGGAATTCGTGATCAGCCTCGGGACGATCGGCAAGATGCACAGCGTCTTCGTAAATGGCAAGGTGGAGCAATTGCAAGAAGAAGGAGCGACTCTTCCTAGCGCCACGCCCACGTGCTGATGCGTTGGACACCGCTCTGCGAGCCATGTTGTTGCCATTGACGTTGTCCCGCTTCTGCTTCTCAGTAGTAATCTTTTCCTCGATCTTTGAGTCCTTATCACGAGTTTCGAGGTCAAGCCACGTACACAGTGCATCCACATAAGCAACACGGACTGGGCGGTACGAATCACGCAGCAGCCATTGAGTTCCCTCCCAGACTCCGATTGGAACTGGGTTCTGGTTTTTAGTAGATTCATTGGCCGAAGGATCGTTGCTGTTAGCAACAATGAGAATGCGCTTGACCGAATCAAGTGCAACCTCTCGAGCTGTGTCAAAGGAGAAAAANNAGCCATCGGTGTTGGGTCTTTCCTTCAAGCCACTGCTGGCGGCGGATTCCATGGAAGCACCATTGGGGTCCTCGATAGCATTGGCGGTAGCGGCGGGCAGGTTGGACCCAGCAGAGGCAGGCTTAAGACGAAGGAGAAGGGCCGAAACCATATCCGCGATTTGATCAGTGTAGTATACATGCTTTGCGAGATTGACAATGCATTGACGCAGGTGGGTAAGCAGTTCGACTCTGACAGGAGAAGGAGTCTTGACAACTTCCATGACAGGCGACTTTGGCTTTTCGGTAGATCCGTTCAGGCTGGTTTGAGTAGTACCAAGCTGTAGTATCAGAAGGATGTGTTGAACCAGACCGAGCAGAATGTCCATGACTGACAAGCCTATCAGGTTAATGTTGGAGCCAAGGATTTGCTCGACAATGACAGCCAGTACGATTTGTTGCTGCAGAGAATCCTCAATGATGGGGCTGCGAATCAGAATCTCGACAGCAGTGAACAGGACAACAAAACGATCCTGGACGGGAGTACATTCGCATGCCAGTTTGGCTAGACCGACAGACCAGGCATGACCCGAGTTGTGCTGAGAGATGTATTCAAGCATGCTCAAAGTAGCCATACGCACTTGACCGCGGTTGTCGACATCGAACAGGGCCTTGAAGCATTGCATGGCCAGTATACCAGCCTCTTCCTCAGCATAGCGATCGGCCTCTTGAGCAGTGCCTCCAGCAGCACGCGGGTCTCCTTCTTCCTTTGTGTTTGTACTGCGAATGGTTTGCATGCTGGGACGCAGTGCTTGCTGCGCATTCTTTTGCTCGTTCAGTCTTTCATCGAGAGTGGTCAGGTATGTGGCATCTTGCGAATAGAGGTTGCGGAGCACGGCGGGTAAGAAGACGGAGATCTGTCGGCCTGGCTCGCTGGCGAGCGCCTGGGCTTTGGCAATACTGCGCAGTGCCTCGAGACCAGCCTTGCGTAGCTTGAGGGCATCGCTAGACCCACCGGCCTCCTTGTTTGTCTTGTCGGCATATGTTGTCCATCTCTTGACCACATCGGCAAACTGTTGGCGGTACTCGACATCGGCGGCGAGGGTAGCATGGTCTTGGTCACGACAGAAGGCGTCCCATACAGGTAGACATGCTTCAATCAGGCCCGTGTCGTTGGAGTGGCCCAGGACTTCTTGCAGGATGGTGAGGACATGAGGCGCCAATAGGGGGAACGTGTCGACCGACGAGATGCTGGACGAGTTGAGAAAGGCGGTAAGGATTCCTAACGTGACGTGGACCGCTCCTATCCTGCCCTTGTACACATCTGAGGCGGTCCGCTTCTCCAGGAAACTGCCAACCTTTGTGAGTTTGGCTCGGCGACTCGACGCGTAGTAGACCAGGTAGCTGAGTTCGCTGCCATTCGGCTTTGCCTCGCTTGCATTGCCTGCCGGATTCTTGGGCAGTTTAGGGTAGCACTTCAGGATCAAAACCTGATGTTTCGGTCGGCATTTCTGGCGGAGCGCGTTCATGTTGGCTGACGGATGGCGTGAGTCGTGTCTGGATCTCTGGTGGAAGCCTGCTATGCGGTGTAGATTACCGCGTGCTTCGACTTCTTCCTACTCTCGAGAAGGGTCGAGAGGAGATGTTGCCCAACGCCGTATGAGACACGTCACGTCGTGAGATGCAATCAACGACGAGACTGGAAACGAGACACCCCAAAGTCGCTTCGTATATCGTAATCAAACCCGGCCCCCAATCCCAAAATGTGGCTGGCCCGTTTGTTGCTTGGCAGCATGCGTGAACCACTCGAACCCTTTCTGCGTCGTTTTGCAAATCATCCACCTGTCAAACAGCCGTCAAGGGACTTGTATCACTACTCGAGTAAGAGAAACATGGCTTTCGTACATCATGCCTATGAGAATCGCTGCAACAGTCGTGCTGGCCTCTCCAGAGCTACGCCTTCTATATCTGTTCTCCAATAGAACAGCAACCTGATCCCGTCGAAAACCAAAAACGCCATCTCGTGCTTCCCCTGTGACACAAGACTCGAAACACTTGACCTCCAAAATAAAACTCCTTGATATCCATGGACAAAAGTCATCCTTGTGTCCCATTTCGTCATTCGCATCTCATCACTTCTTCAAGGCTGCGTGCGCTTTCCAATAACACGCTTTCCGCTGCTAGGCGTGCGATACATTGGATGCTGCTGCCAGCCGGGTAATTCAGGTTGCATCTAACGACCTGCCATACCCATGCCAAATCTAGCTGCTCCGATCTTGTGGAAGGTACCAATAGGTTGAAAGCCNNCCTGAGAAACATGTTAGTCCATTATCTTCGACTCGTGTCAAATTCAAACTTACTTGGCAAGATCAATGCCGGCCTCATCATCAGTGTCTGCGCCATAACGAAGAGAGCCCATGTTCTGTTGCATGCCACCCATATTGTTCGTTGCATAAGCATGACTGTTGAGGATATTGCTAGTGTTGGGTGCAGCAGCTGCTTGCTGCTGATTGTTGCCATTGCCCAGAGCCTGCATGGGAGGACGCATAGAGTTAGGTGCAGGCATGCTTGATTGCTCACGCTGTTGTTGTGTCTGCGCCTGCATATGCTCCTGCTGACTTGGCTGGGATACCTGTTGCTGCTCAGGTTCAGGTTGTTGCTGCTGAGGCGGCTGCAACTGAGGCGCATTAAACGAAGGGTTTGTCATAATGCTCTGTTCTCTTCTCTGAGAAGTCTCGCGTTCGAAAGAAGTTCTTTCGTTGCTCTCCAAAGGCATACTAGTGGCAATGTGCTCATCCGAGTCAAATTCGAGCTTGGCCGAGCGGCTGTGGCTTGTGGTGGGCCTGGGGATGCTGCGAGTAGGGCTACCGTCGATACGGTCAGGGACTCCCGATGGACGAGGAGGCGAGCTGGACTGAATAGCAGGCATGTCGTCATCTTTCTCGTCCAGAATGTTCTTTTTGTCAACAGCGCTCTTATCATCCTCGTCAAGGATCTTCACGTTGGCTCCCATTCCCAATGGCTTGAAAGATGAGAATGGTGTCGCCTTCAAGGGACTGATGTCTGCGAGCGGGCGTAGGGNGGTCGAGCCGAACTTCCAGAACGGAGCCGGTGATGAGAACTCCATAAAAGCCGAAGGACGCTGGAGCGTTGAGGGAGGTACCAGCTTCTGGCTGCTGCGCACGGGGAAGGGTGTGTCAAGAGGACCGATGCGACCGTCATCGTTGATGTAAAGCGAAGGCGGAGATCCGGCGGCGTTGGCAACAGCCGTAAGATGATTAAGAGTGCTCTTGGCCGAAGGAGGGTAGACAAGTTCTGGATCGTTATCGTCAAACTTGACAGGGCGTCGAGAACCTCTGTCAGGAGTGTAGGCCTCAGTTGCGGTCGGGTACGAAGATGGGTATGTGTGCATAGGAGGACTGTCGCTCTTCTCGGTCTTACTAGGAACAGCGTGGACAGCACCATTGAGCTTTTGATGGGCGGAAGATGGAGGGTGTAGCTGAGCAGGACTCGAAGGGTCGATCATGCCAGAAGGCAGAGGGTTAGGTCTGCGGCAGCCTTTCATGCCTTGGCTCAGGAAAGTGTCGCGTTCCTTGGGCGAGATCATCCACTTCATACCTTTACCAGGCTCGTCGGTGCGACGGGCAATCTTCTCAAAGGCCTTGTTGAGACTAAGATTATGGCGGATCGAGTTTTGCCAGCCACTGGTGCTATAGCGGTAGAAGGCATAGTTTGCCATGATCCATTTGTAGATGTTGTTGAGCGTCATCTGCTGCTCGCCGGTAGACAAGATAGCCATACCGATCAATTGAGCGTACGAGTGGGGAGGTTTGAGATCTTTGGCGCTGTCTGCAGAGTAGTCAATAGACTCGGTCGACTCGAGCATGACACCGCGGGAGTAGCCTCCAATCGAGAGAGGAGACGGGCGGGTGCGCTGCGAGGTAGGAATGTTCATGCCGTGGTTACGAATGGGTGTACCAGGTATGGGGAACGATTGCGACTGCAGACCTGCGTATGAATGCGGGTGTACACGGTTACCGGTGCTGCCATCGGGGAAGCTAGACGAAGGATGGGCAGGGCGGCGCACTGACGAAGAGGGGCCGGGCATGTGAGATGACGGGTTTGGTGGAGGCCCGTTGCCATTACGAGCATCGGCTTCGTGGTCTTCCTCTTCGGATGTGTAGGTCTGACGGACAATGGCGTCGGCGAAGACGGGACCATCGTCCTCATGGCGAGCAGTGGTGATAAAGGCCATCTGGGTGCCACTAATGTCGATAACACAGCCAGAACGCAAGGCCGCACGGTTGCCACGCTTAAGAAGCTGCGTGTCGACTCTTAGGCCGTTGCGGCCATTGACAGTGATGAACCACTTCTCCTGCTCGCTGTCGTACGAGATGACGGCATGCAGACGCGACACCTGTCTGTCGGGGCCAAGATCGATGGAGATTCTCGACTTGGCCGAAGGGTCGTTTGACTGAATAATAGGAGAGTTGAGAGATTCAGCCTTCTCGTGTGACTCGGGACGGCCGATGTTGATTTCGACGCCTTGGATGATGTATGTCCAGTTGCGACCAGCGATCTTGCCATAGCCAGGCACGTGCTCTCGGCCCTCGAGCAGGTCGTTGGAGAAGTCGTGTGTCGCATTTACTTGCTTGTCTGAGACCTTGAGCTTGGAGATGACATCGACCTCGGAGGGAGTCGAGGGCTCGGTTTCGGCGTCGGACTGTTCGTTGGCCTCGGTGCCCTCGGTGTCTTCGCGTTCGTTGGCGCGGGCAGTGGTGACCTTTCTGCGCGTGGCTGCGCGGCCATTGGAAGTAGGGGCGTCGTTGGCACGCGCTCTCTTGCGAGAAGTGCGCGAGGGTGTAGCGATGGACTCGGGAGTGTCGGCGTCAGACACGTCGGCTGCGGTGGCCGTGGCTGCTGCGGCCACTTCGGCGGCCCTGCGCGCAGGTCTTGTGCGCCGATTTGACGGCGGCATGGTGATGTGTTGTGTGATGTGGACTGCAGGAATAGAGGGGAGGTTGTGTTGACAAAGACGTCGCTGGGTCGCGTCTGTGATGTCGGGTTGACGGGAAAAAGCAAGCGGATGATGGAAAGCGATCGCGTCTCAAGAGCGGGCCAAGAGTTTGCCTCCGCAAATTTGCGTGGGGACGAGGGCAGGCCTGATGTCGTCGGCCTCTGCTATTATCGACAGTTCTCTAGTTGATGGTTGGATATTTCCTGGTTGAGACAGTGCCGTCGATGCTGGCGATCCTTGTTCTTCACGACTGTTCGAGACGGGTGGATTTGGTGGGTTTGGATCAAACAGATCTCGAGACGCTGTAAGCGAAGGACGTGGTGTTTTGTTGACTGACGCGCACGATCAACAAAGGTTCTCGGACAATTGCCTTGTCCTGCAGCTCTTCTTGGATCACTCGTACTGACGCAGAGTCGATCTCAAGTCTTTAACAGCTTGATTGAGGATAGGGGCAGTAAAAGGGACAACGTTGCATCCGTTTCTATCACGTCCGCCGTGCATTCGTCGTCCAAAGAGCACCCGCGAAAAGGCGTGCGTGCTGAGCTGAGGCTGCCACCACCCTTGTGCGCCCGATCAAACCATCTGCTTGATGACGCTGACTGTTTTTCCCCGCTTCCTACAAACTCAACCTTTGTTGACAAAAGTAAACATGGCTGTTTCGACCACCAACATCTTCCCATCTGCAGAACATCTTGCACGACGTCCAGCAAACCTCATGGAGCATCAAGTCCAAGGTGGTGCCGTGCAACCTAGTTATATCTGAAAACAATCGTGACTGTTTCACCGTTCATTAGCCTATCATCCCCTAGAGCTTTCTCGTACATTTACACCGCCCATCATCGTCCTAAATCAGCAATGTGTACAGAATGCAGTATTGGACTGATCAAATTTGATCCTGCCAATAATCTCGCAGACAAATCAACCATATTGTCAGTCGCACGTTGGCCATCGACAAGTCGAAGATGCCGTTCTGACCACCCTGACCGCTGATTCCCAAGTCGATAAACACACCATCAAGTTCCTGCCTTCACTACTTCTCGCATGAACTCCTACTGGGTGTGTTCAATGTACTTGTGTTGTCGATTCTTATTGTATTATCTAGTCTTGCAGGTGTTCTGTTCGTGGAGTACCATTTTCGAGATATGTGGTGACACTTCACGTTCAAATCAGCATCAGACTTAGCAATGTGGACGTTGTTGGCCACACTGGACGTGACGTCTAGGAGTCAATTTTCTCTTCTCGGTCAGCTTTGTCACAATACCATTCTCGAGACTCTGAAAATCATCTCACAAGCATCGAGACTCAAATGATATCGTCGTCGGCTCGGAAGATCGAGCTCCGACACTAACCCGATCTAGCTTGGATTGGCAGCGACTCAAACTCCTCCCAGGTCACCGACCCAACAACAAACAACCTCAACACTCAAGCATCTTATCAAGAGTTTTCTTGTTTCGCGTCATAATTCTGCAACTTACATACTCACACCATGGCCCCTCAGGATAAAGCGGCCGCTGGTCCAGCTGGAGCGAATGGAGCCGTCAAGAAAAAGCGCGTCGTTACCACTGCTGCAGACAGAGAAAGACTCAAGCTCAGGGCCGAGGACGTCAGATGGAACGCAGCAAGAACCCCCGAAGCAAAAGCCTGGATAAATTCTACCAGATTGTTGAAGGAGTTCCTCACCAACGGAGAAGATGTCTTGGCTCTCAAAGCTGGTCCAGCAACAAGACGTGACCTTTGGGCCAAGGCCGATGCCATGGGTTTGCACGTTGAAATGTTCGATACGCAAGTACGCAAGGACGGGCCACCTGAGAGCTGGATTGTACTCGGTCGAGTTGCTTCGAGGATGGCGGTTGCTGGCAAGGTTCGAGACATCCAGCGTCAAGCCAAGAGGCAGCTTCAGGAGGCCGAGGAGGAGGCTGAAAACCAAGCCGAAGCTGACGCTGGAGCCGACGAGCCCAAGAATCCAGCCGACTTGATCGATCCTTCTCTTCGCGAACAAAGAGCTCCTGTGGCTCAAATGACGCTCCCAGGTGCCCAGCAAGCAAAGGACATACGTCAACAATTGCCTTCTATCGACCATACCTCCAAGACAACCGGAAACAACAAGACTGCGAAGGTGAATCCACCGAACGAGGACATAGAGGCTGCAAAGCAACTCAGTGATCTCAAAAGTCAATCTGTGCCCGCAAGGCCAGTTTTCCGCAAAGACCCGTTAGAGGCTGCTCCAAACGCTAGCGCCCTGCCCCAAGAGACAAACGAACAACAACCCACTACTGAGGATACTACTGAGAACGATCGAATCGCCAGCTGGGTATCACAGCAAGCCCAAACAGCCCAGACAGAGAAGGACATCGTAGACCCAACAGGAACCTGGAAACTCGCCTGCGAAGCCATCACCGAACAACTTGGCGAAATGGCTTCATCATCCGATCTAAGCCTAACAATCCACCTCGAGCCAACTCGGCCCCAAAGTGACAACGACATCGACGACGAAAACCCGGCCACAATCTCCGACGACGACATCCCCGAATCCGACCTCACAGAAACCCAAAAAGGACGTCTTGGAACATATCAACTCTGGGCTACTTTCAATATGGGTCTCTTCCATGGCATCATCCGCTTCATGTCCCCGACAACCCTCAGAACAACTCCTACCCAACGCTCCTCCTTCGATCTCCTTCCCTCACAACTGCCTTCGCCTGAAAACCGCACTTTCCAATATAAATGGCGCGGCCGCGAGACTTCAGATTCGGTGATTGCAATCGAGGCTCAGGATGCAACTCAGTTTATCCGATTCGAGGAAGACGGTGTCAAGCTGACTGGTGTGTTTGAGTGCGAGTATCTGGGCGAGACTGGATTCGAGGGGCAGAAGATTGGCAAGGGAGAGGTTGCGAAGGAGCATTTGGGCAAGGCGTGGAGCCAGTTGAGCCCTCAGGCCCATGAGATGGAAGATCAAAAAAGGCAATGTTGCCATAGTTGTTGATTGTGGCTGAACCTGGTGGCGTTTGCAAAAGCTTAGATTTGCTTAATCTCACTGTTTCTGTATTTTTTTCTATCTTGTTGTGCATCTGCATCGCTTCTGCACAATGTCTTCGGCTTTGCTTGTTCCAGGTCAGTGATCTCCTGATCAAAACATGAGAACAGAGCAGGAACATCAGATCTTTGAGTGGGGAAACCTGGCAATGTAGCCAAATCATGTATTCGAAGCTCATGAACGTATAAAAGATGCAGCTTGCTAAAGGTGTTGAAATGTGTCGAATGCAAATGCCTTGCTCCCATTCATCGTCATATCCATTCTCATCCAACCAGCATGCAAAGCATATATTCTAATCAGATTCCTCGGGAACATCCTCTTCGGTGCCCATCAGCCCAATCGCCCAATGCACTCGTGCGCTAGCTTTTGTCCTAACAAACTTCCTGTCATTTTCTGCATCCCACTCGGATAATCTCTGTTTGCTGGCTTCTGCTAGACTGTCTCCATATCGCCCCATTCGGAAATCAGAGAATGTGGCTTTGCTCACACGTACGTGAGGAGGTCCTCGACCTGCGTCTGCTGCGCGGATCCAGCCGCTCTGACATCCTTCGGCAATGATACTGGCGGTAGCCCAGCCGCAGCGTCGATCTGTTTCAAAGTAGCGTTCGACGAGCCATGCACGGTGAGAGGCATTCGTATATTGGATACCGGCGAAAAACTGGGGAATGACCAGATCGATCATTGCAGCGCCCATCTTGGGGTCGAGAGGCTGATCCTCAGGCGGGGTTTGAATACTTGCTGCAATACGGCCGATGGAATAGGCGTAGGGTTTTGTTGACTCGGCCGCCGCAGCCGCGGCGACATGAGCGGCTGGGGGCATGTTCGGGTGGTTGCGGAGGGCTGCTATCATGGCCATGTTGTAATTTGCCCAGATTACGCTGACGTCCCACGAGCGGTAGATGAGAGCTGGTCCGAACGGTGTGTTGATAGGAGGCTGGTACTCGGCGTCCAAGGGCTGGAAATATGGGCCTAGACTGTTGGCTACGAAGTCCAAGGCTGCTTTGATACTGTTCCATTCCTGAAGAGCGTTTGCGGTGGAAATATTTAGATCTATGCTGTCGTATGCGTGCGAGGTCGTGCTTGATGGCGAATGAGAAACTCCTCGCGAGGAGAACATGTTTGGTGGAGGCGTGGCTGATGGGTTGTTGGATGCATTGGATGTGCGTCTCCCATTATGAAGTGGGGAGCCCATGCCCGATTTNNTTTCAACCTTGAGCTTTCTCTTCCTGTCTCGTACAGCAAAGTCTGCGATTCGAGCTAGGAGTAGAACGATGTGATCAAATGAGCCGTAGGTAGCATCGGCCTTGCCCAGAGGTGCTCGAGGTGGACAATCAGTATATCGGCTATAATCCANTCCTATACATTGTCAGCGTGAAGAACAAATGGAGCTTGGCTGTTACACATACATGAGAGGGTCAGTGCTAATCAAGCTGTGGTAAGCGTCTTGCTTGCAGTACCACCAATACAAGTCTTTCAGAGTGTCGTAAGTCTCCAAATTGAAAGGTTGCTGAGGTGGCATTGCTTCACCAATGTGGCCATATCTGTCATAGCTGACTCCAGTGCCACAGATTGCTCCGACAATATTCTCGTCGGCCTCGTACATCTGATCCAGCAGTATATCCTGTGGCGATTGATCCGGAGATATTTGTGGGATACCAGTGGCCGAGAACCGCGGCATCTGCTGATCTTGTCGTGCCTTCACAGCCTTCATCTGCTTGAATGTTTTGGTCATACCAGCGAAGTCCATTTCTACCACTAACTGGCGGGCACCGTTGAGATGACTTTGCCAATTAGCATGATTAGCAGCCATGCATTCGTAGTAACCAAGCAATAACGATGCGGCGAAAACGGGGACCGAAAGCCTCTTCTTCGGATTACCGACACAATTGTGAATCCTCTTTAGCGCATATGCGTAGTGCTTGAGCGAGGGTGTTTCGGACGCGTTCTGAATCTTGGCTATCTGTAGACTCGATATTGCAAGCATGGACTGCAGAAGACCTTGATGGTGCAACGCTGCCATGGGCAAAGTGTGAGTCCAGATACACTTCCGTACCATTGGCATCGCCTTGCTGTCAGAAGACGAAGGATTCAGCCGCCAGATTTGTCTTGCCGAAGTGGTCAATATCGTCGCAGTTTCCGACATGAAATGCGCAAACACCCTGGCTGTGGCTGGATTTTTCAGTGGATTCGCAACATGCTCAGGTCGGTAGCTGTCCATGGCACCGCTGAACACGAAAGTATCGAAGTGCCGAGCATCCATCCTGGCCGCATCAAGTCCATATTTGGGCTGGTCGTGAGTCTGTGTCTTTGATCCGTGGATATTTTGTGCTTCAAATTCAGTATCCATGTCAAACATTTCGTCCTCCGTGTCAACATCATAATAGTCCTCGTCATGAACTTCGATGGCTGCCTCATCCAGAACTCCATTCCGACCAAGCTGTGTTTGTAGGGGAACATTGTTAGTCACATCCGGGACGTTTCTTGGTGGTGCTTGGGGTTGTCTTAGACGTGGTTGCTCCATGGTTACTCCATATCCATATGATGGGCCTCCTGGCGGTGTTGGAGTTGGTTCCGGTACGTTTGGACTGATGAATCCTTCTCCGTGCCATTGATGTGGGACGCCTATTGGCTGTTGATCGTCGGTAACATATGCATTAGACCAGAGTACTGGTGTGAAATGGCCTTGAACATCCTGCTGCCAACCAGTGGTAGTATATTGTTCCATGTACGGTGAAACCTCCGGAATAGATTGATACATGGCTGGGTTTGGTGGACCACTGTCAACCGGAATGCCATGAGAGAATGACGAACTCCTATCCAGAAATGGTTTCGTGTCCGGAGATTGTTCGAATCGTGTTTGATGCTGAGACATGCCATGGAGAATCGGATCGAAACCTGGATGTTGAGTTATGGGCGGTGAACGCTGATGGTCCATAGCATCACCAACTGGCCCATACTGTTGTGACATCTGCGACGCGACAGAGAGCGAGCGTGGCTGAGAGCCGGGATGTGGAGGATATGCTCCATGATGGCTGTGCTCGTTAGGAATGCCGTTAAGTCCAGCGTCGAATGTTATGGTTGCACCGCCGTGAGGTAGATATTGGAAATCAGCCGGCTTGAAGACAACACGCTGGTTGTAACCTTCACATTGGCGCTTTGATTTCATGCAGTTTTTGCATACGGGTTTGCCTTCATCGCACTTGATTCTGCGTTTTCGACACGTGAGACATCCCGTCTTTGTCCTCTTCCGGGCTGCTCTCGCTGCGTCAGAGCTGCCCGCCTGCGCGCTGCCCGCATCGCGACCCTCGGACGCGCCGTCGCTCTCCTGTTTGAAAGCACCCATCATGCAGCAGTATCAAGTTGATCGCCCGGGGCTATCTGGAAATCCAGATGGGAAACTGTGCATAGTAGAGCCTCGCAAAGACGTGAGGTGCAAATAAGGACGCCCGTCCGCGCATACACCAATTACACAAGTGATTTGGCGGGGAGGCACTGGCCACTCGTCGCTGTATTCAAGCGCCGGAACGTGCCACCTAGGGCCGAGATATCAGGAGATTCGTTCAAATGTGGCAAGCAACCAGGCGGAAAGGAGTGTGCTGTCGATAGACGTTTGTGGGAGAGGTGGACGCAAGACGAGAGGTGTGCAGCGTGTGCTCCAGGAGGAAGAGAGCCGTGATGGCCAGGTCCTCTGCGCCCATCTGGCAACGGTTTCAACGGCTAGGAAACGGGTTTGCTTTGTCCCGGGCTCTCGAAGGATCCGTGGATGTGCCGACCTTTGCGTGCACAGCGCCGATGGAGAGTACTGTTTGATTGTGCCGCCCCGCCTTTATGTAATTATCACGGGTGCCCCGAGTGCTCTAATTGATGACTTGTATGTAGCTAAGCCAGGGCTAGATAAGACCGGCGCAAGGATGAGGGCGCGATTAATTTGTAAGGTTGCTCGCGCCTTCCACCAAACCCAAACCTTGCCGAGGCGGCGTGGGGAAACAGGTAGAAAGTAGGGACGGTCGCGCTGAATACGCCCGTACTACCTACCTATCATGTTGTAGCTGAAATACGATGCATTCCTTCAATTACGACTTGCATGTGTGCTCCACTGCACGTTCTTCGAGCAATCATGATTTGGCATGTGACAATGTTGTTGAAACAGAGTCAGTCTCACCGGCAAAGGTCTGCCCTGAGACCCTGATATTCTCAGGGCATGTTCGCATCAAAAGAACCACAGTTCATTGCTAGTCACCTCACCACGTGAAGACCTCATACCTCTTGAGATAAATCTAGTGTCACTGCATCATGCTGATTTGCTATTCGATGTGTTGATCACTGTTCAGCCTGCTAATGCAATGCACAAATGCAGAAGGCTGAATCTCGCCCGCAGCATGGTATATTGGATGGCTTCGCTGACGAATCACCCTCTCAGCCGGAGTAATTCTGTCCTGTGTCTTGCTTCGAACAGGAAAGTAGAGTAATGCTCTGTTGCTCGAGGAGTCGGTTATACCTGCATTTTTGTGCTCAAGCCTCTTTGCTTTCTGTATCAATTTTCATTATATTCGCAAGCCTTCCCTCTTTGCTTTAGCCAAAAGGCAATACAATTCTTATCAGGTAATCAATTAGATGTGCTCGATTTGCTGTCTATTGACACGATCTTGGGCCCTCTGTGAGATCTAATGACTCGCACAAAGCGCACCAAGATTGGACGTGCCTTTAGTGAGGGCCCCCTCACAACTCGAAATCTCAACAGACTCTCATATTGCGCACCATTAGCAACAACATGTTTATTTGCATGTGAAGGGCATCTCTTCTCATGAGGTCTGGCACGAACAAGGAGGATCTCGAAGCCTCCTTGATACCTAAGATTCTGATGTAAGAGATGCTGTGTCTCGTGACAAGCCTACCCATGTTGTCTATGATCACGCAAGGAATCGTGTGAAAAGCATTCTTGCGTATTCCTCCCGAGCAAGAGTCTGGCAAATCAGCTCTCGTATCTCGTGGCAGCTGACGATACTTAACATCGAGCACACGCTGATAAGTGGTTGTTGCGAAATCCTAACCAACAGACTGTGGCCTATATTTTGAGGCGGCAACACGGAAAGCCATCCGACACGGGTAACGTTCCGTGCTTGTTCGAAGCTGATTGACAAAATAATGTGTGTCCGTTGCGCCGAACCACGTCAAGACACATGTAGTTTTGAGGGATGGCTTTCCACTACGGGTTCATGACAGTGACAGCTTTATGTCTTGCTTTGAGGATCTTCTGACATGGCCTGACGATGGCAGGGGCTCCCACACTGAATCTTGCTTGCTGCATCTCATCACATCTCGAAGCATGCAAGACCTGCTGTGAACAGTTTATACAGGAGAAACCTCGTGAAGATCTCATTTCATGAACATGACGCGACGGACAAAATATCCACGGTTTGACGCGTGCCTATCTCGTCAGCGGCGGCTTTCTACAACTCGCCGACTGGCTGTCGGTACAAGATAGAGTTCGGCCAAGTCCTTCTGCGCCTCTGCCGCTTCCTTCGACCTGTCCATGGACATCAAAATTGCTGGACAGCTCAGTCACATGAGCACAAGAGCAAATCTATGTGTGCTTTTCGAAACGCAAAACTTTCTTCACGAATGCTGGATATGTACCTACTTGTATCGTGACCAGCCAGCATCTTGGCACCTGCTGCTGGAGTTTCCGTTCACATAGAAAATTTAACCACCGGAGTGCGGCAGTCCCACGGACCCTCACGTCGCACTCTAACCCTGATATCGAAAAGATTGTCATACAACTGTGGATACTCTCACTGCAATTGCGTGCACAACCCTCAAACAACCGGCAGAATTGAACACTCTTCCGGCGGCGAGGTCGAACGCTTGTCCATGGATTGGACGTTGCTCCCAACTTCTTCATCCGATGTTGCTGGATAAATTCGAAAAGACATCCTGAAATGATGTCATGGCCTGAACCGCGACGGTGGAGAGTCTGACTGCTTGGGGCCCCAGTCTCGTGTCCCACAATAGTTCGCGGACTGGGGTTAGAATATAAAGGCAGTAGAGCCCTTAGAGGAGCACTTTTGGTACTCTCAGACAAGACGAGGCTTCAGCACAGGAGGCTGAACATCTTTCATCATGTATACCATCTCAAACATCTATGTTCTGGCCGCCTTTGGTACCATTGGCGGTGCCTTGTTTGGTTTCGATATTTCGTCCATGAGCGCTTGGATTGATCAGGAGCAATATCTTCAATACTTCAACTACCCTAACTCGAATCTGCAAGGAGGTGTAAGTACACGCCTATGTCTAGCTGGAAATCTTGCTAACAAACAGATANNGATCACTGCATCCATGTCAGGAGGATCTTTCCTGGGTGCTCTTGCTGCTGGATTCATCTGTGATTCTGTCGGTCGTCGCAGATCTCTTATGATTGCCTCTGTTATCTGGATCATTGGATCTGCCATCCAATGCAGCTCGCAAAACGTTGCCCAATTGATCGTGGGCCGTGTGATCAGCGGTCTTGCTGTCGGTATCACGTCTTCTCAAGTGGTAAGTGTACTTGCCTACTCAGGGTGCTCGAACCGTCACTGCCATTCTGGGATTGAGTTTTGATGCTTTGGCGAGACGACTTTTGATCACCCCGAGCCCGACTTCAAGCCAACCAGTACTAACACAAGGACCTCANNGTGTGTCTACCTTGCAGAACTCGCCCCAGCCTCCATACGTGGAAGGATTGTTGGTATTCAGCAGTGGGCTATCGAATGGGGTAAGGATAAAGAGTCAACCTGTCAAGTTTCGAAGGGCTACTAAACTTGGATACANGGTATTCTCATTATGTTCCTGATCGCGTATGGCTGTGCCAAGGGCGTTAGCGGTCCTTCTGCTTTCCGTATCGCCTGGGGTATCCAAGGTATTCCTGCCTTTATTCTCCTCGGATCCCTATTTTTCTTCCCGGAGAGCCCACGCTGGCTTGGGTCCAAGGGTCGATGGCAAGAAGTTGAGAACACTCTCGCTCTCCTACACGCCAAGGGCAATCTCGATGATCCGGCCGTACAAGCTGAACTGCTAGAGATTCGCGAAGCTGTCGCGGCCTCTCAAAACACCGAGGGTGTCACCTTCTTTGGACTGTTTGGCAAGAACATGTGGAGACGTACATTGTGCGGTACCACCGTTCAAATGTGGCAACAACTGCTTGGAGGTAACGTTGCCATGTACTACATTGTCTACGTCTTCCAGATGGCCGGTCTCGGCGATCAGACTCTCACCTCATCCATCATTCANATAGTAAGTTCTCAGCCGCTTCAAGTTTCCATACGATCGGAATTCCTAATCGAACTTCTCAGCGTCATCTTTCTTGTCACCACCGGTCTCATTCTACCATACATTGACAGGATTCCTCGCCGCCTGCTTCTTCTGACCGGTTCCATCGTATGCTGCATCTGCCACTTCACCATCGCCGGCTTGATGGCTAGCTACGGACATCATGTGGATTCGATCAACGGCAACACAATTCTGAGATGGAAGGTCGATAACGGTACTGCTGCTAAAGGTATCATCGCCGTCAGTTACATCTTCGTGGGCTTCTATGGGTACGTTTGCAGGCATTTGTGGTGCAAGCAACATACTAATACCTATCCATAGGTTNNGTCCTGGGCTCCGTGCGGTTGGATCTACTCAAGTGAAGTCTTCCCCCTCAAGTACCGAGCTCAGGGAGTCGGTCTCTCTGCCGCAACCAACTGGATCTTTAACTTCGCTCTCGTAGGCTACATCTGAACTTCTCTGCTTGATCATGGCTAATCCATAACCAGNGCATACTTCGTTGCTCCCGCCTTCACCAACATCCAGTGGAGAACCTACATCATCTTCGGCGTTTTCTGCTTCGCCATGACCATTCACATCTTCTTCACCTATCCTGAAACCCATGGAAAGACGCTTGAAGAGATCGACATCCTGTTCGACGCCAACATTCCTCCATGGAAGAGCAGCCAGGTCAAGAGCCGCTTCAGCGAGAGAGTCGAGACTGCTGTCCGCAAGGGCTCCGTCACCGAGCACGTCGAGAACGAAGCCGAGAAGAAGAGCGATGACTTTGCTGTGCAAAATGAGAGCGTTTAGATGTGGAAGCCGGGCTTCTACATTGCCTTTTTACCAAGATTTAATGATATAGAATTGGATTGCATACTCGGCTGCCATCGAATAGAGGCCAAGCACTAGATTTGGAGTTATGATTATAGAACTTTGGCATATGTGTAAATTGATACCATTTTGTTTGTCTCACAACACTTGCATCTGAAATATACATGGACTTCAAGCAGCGCAATCTTTGAGCCAGGCATATGAGAAGGCACATCCCTGCACGCAATGTAGCGTCTGACATCCCCAACAGGAGAAATCTTGGCGGGCACAGAAGTGGAAGTCGCGACGCACCTTCCCATAAAAAAATCCGAAAAAATTCTTGACCTCAACCACACCTTTTGTGTACCATCCAGAGGTCGCCAGGATGACAAAAGAGATGATTCCGCCCGGGTTCGAACCGGGGACCGCCTGTGTGTTAGACAGAAGTGATAACCAACTACACCACAGAACCATGTGCTTAATGGTATGTACGCGAGTTTTCTGTATATCAATGTGTTTACGGCGTCGCAGCATGATCCCAGGCGCATCTTGCGTAAGTAGAGAGTGCATTGGGTCGAGTTCAATGTGGCTGTGGGTCGTGGTATGTGAATCATGGCTTGAAGCCTCAGATGATAGGAGGGACAAATGTTCCCCTGGAGTAAACGCCTACCTGGCAGTGATTGAATACGTGATTCAGTAGCATCAGAGCGCGTTGTCCAGTATCTCGACGAGGTAGTAGTGGTCGTGGTCTATACTAGCAAATGTCGACTGTTTTACTCACCAGTCTCGTCCGCCGTGAGGGTTTCGTACGCAAGCCTTGACATCAGTTGGTGTAGAGAACGACCGCTCGTGCTAAGTGACTTTCCACACAGAACTTGTGTATGACACCTGAGTCGTCAAAGGCCAGCGTTGGGGATGCCAGAAGTAACGGCTGAATGGCGACATGGCGATGCGTCCCTTCTACCTGAGTTTCGAACAAAACCCACGAGCCGTCTCCTGCCATGAACACGATAGCGAATAGAGAGGCTAGGCATGCTGTAAGGAAGATTTAGAAAGGCCTTGTTTGGTGGATGGTGTTGTTGAGCGAAAGGCGAGTGGTGCAGCGTCACTCGGTGGATTCGATTTGCCCGCGACGCCAGGCCCTGCCGTGCCACCTTCCTCTTTGGCCATGCGGATGGATTTTCTCCCTGACCTTCTGACATCTTGTGCCACACGACTTTTATCGACGACTAGTAACAGTCTCTGCTTGCTTCGATCAGTATGCAGCAGGATCCGTCGAGCCAGGAGTATGCAGACGAGGTCGCTCGTCTACGTGCGAGCGAGTCTGACTCCGATGCTGAACTTTTGGTATGTATCTCCATTCTCCTCTACGAATCGTTGGAAGAGCTAGGTTGGACGAAACACGAGTTGACGTTGAGTCTAATTGGTTTGTTGCAAATTCGTGTTATTATGCATATGCATCAAGAAACAAATCATGATTCTGACACAACAACTCTTGTANNGGAAAACCTAGGCTATAAGCCAGTATTGTAAGTTGCTCGGCCATCTCTGTTCGATCATAGCTCACCAAGTGCAAGACATCGTTCATACACGCTCTTCCACAATTTTTCGACCACATTTGGTGAGTATCGGAATCCTCGAGTTCAAGGATCTCTTCTCTAATCACCTCCTNNAGCGGCGCTGTATTTCGTTGGCGGTGTCAGAGTCACGTTTAGCACTGGAATTAGCGCAGGTGGTAACCTCGCATACTGGACTTCTTATATCGTAACTTGCGTCTTCACGTTCATTACAGCAGCTGTCATCGCAGAGATATGCTCCTCCCTACCTCTTGCTGGCTCCATTTACCTTTGGGCTGCCGAAGCAGGAGGACCTAAATTTGGACGCTTTTTCGGTTTCATCGTGGCTTGGTGGTCTACCACCGCCTGGACAACGTTCTGTGCCAGCAATACTCAGGGCGCCGTAAATTATCTCTTGGCCGAAATTGTGGTGTTCAATGTTGACTACCCATCGGACTCGGACCATATCAAGTACCGCGCTGTTCAATGGGCAGTGACCGAGTTCATGCTCGCAGTTGCTTGTATCGTAAACCTGCTTCCTCCAAAATACTTCCGCTGGATCTTTTATGCATCATCCGGGATGGTATTGCTGGACTTTGTGCTCAATATGATTTGGCTACCTATTGGAGTGGCTCAGACTTATGGCTTCCGTACTGCTCATGAGGCTTTCATGACTACATACAATGGCACTGGAGCGCCTGCTGGCTGGAACTGGTGTTTGTCCTACCTGGCTACTGCTGGTATTTTGATTGGATTTGATGCGTCTGGCCACGTTGCAGAGGAGACAAAGAACGCCAGTGTTACTGCAGCCAGGGGTATCTTCTGGAGCACTGTGGTCAGTGGCATTGGTGGCTTCATTGTTGTTATACTGTTCCTGTTCTGCGTGGTAAGTTATGCTGCCTTCCTGGTAGACTGCAAATTTGCTGATGATATGTCTAGNCCTGATGCAGACACCTTCTTCCAATTTGGTTCTGAGCAGCCATTCGTCCCTCTATATGCAGTGGTTCTCGGCCAGGGCGGGCACGTGTTCATGAACATTGTCTGTATCGTGGCTCTTTGGTTCAACACTGCAATTGCCGTTCTCGCCGCATCGAGACTGGTGTTTGCTGTTGCAAGAGATGGCGTTCTTCCTTTCTCTGGATGGGTCTCTCAAGTATCGAACGGACAGCCCAAAAACGCCGTCATCGTGGTCTGGGTCGTTTCAGCCATCATCAGCTGCACAATCCTTCCCTCCAGCACTGCATTTACCAGCCTGGTTTCAGCCGCTGGTGTTCCTTCGGCCGCTGCATACGGTCTGATCTGTCTCTCAAGACTGGTTTTCACACCGAAGACATTCCCCAAGCCCGAATGGAGCCTTGGAAGACTTAGCAAGCCCTTCCAGTTCATCGCCATTTTCTGGAACGGTTGGGTTGTTGCCGTCTTGTTCTCGCCGTATGCTTTCCCTGTTACGGCTGGCAATCTGAACTACGCTCCAGTTATCATGGCGATTGTCACGATATTCGCTATTGTGTCGTACTTTGTCATTCCTGCAGAGAAATGGCTGCCATCTCATAGAATTCAGCAGACGCTCGAGGCAGAGGGACCCAAGTCTCTTCGTGTTGAAACCATTGCCCACGATTAGAGTCTTGGTCCGAGTGAGCGACTTGGATGTCCGTGTAGCTTGGGAGCCCACCATGTCAGACGACAAAAGCTGATAACATACTTGCAAAAGCGTCCTGTATATACTCATCTTCTATGGCGACTACCCCGATGAACTATTCGCCAAAGCGCAATCTCATCGAGACTTGTTGACCATCAATGTACAAAGTTTAAGCGAAGGGTGCCAGTGTTTCACCGACTCGCGATTCTTGCATGCCGACAACGATACAAGAGTTATGTATTATTGGACGCAGGGAGCTGTGGACTTTTTGAGCACGGTGAATACGGTGCAGTAAGCAGAAGTTGAAAGCGCAGCGGCGCCGTCAGTCTGCAGCGACACTGGACACAAGCAACACACAATCTCACCAAAGACGGTCACTACGACCTGACGTTTACAAGGACCAAGACACAGCGCACAAGCAGATGCACATGTTGTCAGCAACAACACACTCCATCCAGCTGGCAGCAACACGAACGCGCCCGGGAAACGGGATGCGAGCGGAGAAGCTGCACGCTACCGGCCGCGGACGACTCGGACTCGAGACATGGGTGTGAAGTTCCTTGTCACGGTGTCGTCATCCCCGAGGCCCGACGTGCACCAGCGTGCTCCCTTAGCACAGCTCGAACGTAGCGCCGAATCTCATCGTTGTGAGAATGTCTCGGGCGTATCGGAAAGGCGTTTGCGAATTGAATGGCACCACGTCGCAAAAGATTTGAGGCTCAGCTGCAAAAACATGCCTCAGGAGATGAGAGTGTTTATGAACCGATGGAAAGCAAAAGAGGGGGCCAGCTCAGGAGGAAGGTGACTGGCTTGGCGCCTGTTAGCGCGGAGGTGCTAAGGACAACAGCCAATAATCTGCAGACATGTTTGGCTAGTGCGACAATTTTGGCTTTTCCCGCGTTATCTCTGCGTAGACTTTGACTGCTTGCTTCGCGATGCCTGCTTGCTCGCTGCTGCTGCTGCTTACAGTGCTGTCTGCTGCCGTCAAGCGCGCCGACCGTCACCACGACAAAGCTATCTCCAGTCATAGCTCTCTCCAGCCAAGGCCTTCAACAGTCCAGGCATGTCCAGAGAGAGCGGCGACAGGGACCAGGGGCGAACAGCGACGACGGACGTTGATTATTATTTTTCTCGTTCGGTCGCGAGAAAAAAAAAGAATAATGCAAGGGTCAGTCACGTGCATCTGGGAGGGTGAAGTTGGCACTGGCAGGGCCAGGAAAGCGCGTCTGTGGTCTGTGGACTGCGGGCTTTTGCCATTTGGCTGTGCACACTGACTCCTCCCTCTCACCCACTCTCACTCTCTCACACCTTGTCGCCAATGCCTCTGACCGTCGCCTGATTTCCTTTCTGCCGTTGCGCCTCTTGTCGTCGCTGTCGCACACCTCTGCCAGCCATTTTCAACCCACTCGGCTCCGATCTCTCGCCCTTCCGTCTCTGTCTTGACCCACCCTCGACCAACAACGCCGTCTGCACACAGTCTTCCTTCTCCTTTCCACGTCTTTGTGCAGTCACCACACTTCCATCAGTGTTCGTCGACCTCATTAGTCTTCGTCAAAGTCTAGCGCAGCACCGCGCGAGGCCTTCGTGATTAACCATCCCTGTCCACAGCCTCGACATTCCTGGCCTCCAGCGACATGCGTTGCAGACACGATCCGACACTGCGCACGACATAGAATACCTCCAAACACCACCTTTGCATGACGACAACAGGTAGTTGGATTATGACAGACGTCCCGCCGCCCTTGAATGCACTCGTTGCTGCTGCTCGCCAGCAGCAGTACAGCCATCCTCTGTCGTCCCATTTC